AAACAGTCACACTCCAAACTCCACTATGGCCAAGACCAAAGAGCTGTCAAAGGACACCAGAAACAAAATTGTAGACCTGCACCAGGCTGGGAAGACTGAATCTGCAATAGGTAAGCAGCTTGGTTTGAAGAAATCAACTGTGGGAGCAATTATTAGGAAATTGAATACATACAAGACCAGAAAATCACATTGTAGGATTTTTAATGAATTTATTTGCAAATTATGGTGGAAAATAAGTATTTGGTCAATAACAAAAGTTTCTCAATACTTTGTTATATACCCTTTGTTGGCAATGACACTGGTCAAACGTTTTCTGTAAGTCTTCACAACCTCCTTCCATCAGCAAGGGCATTGAAGATGAAACGTGGCTGGGTCTTTCAGCATGACAATGATCCCAAACACACCGCCCGGGCAATGAAGGAGTGGCTTCGTAAGAAGCATTTCAAGGTCCTGGAGTGGCCTAGCCAGTCTCCAGATCTCAATCCCATAGAAAATCTTTGGAGGGAGTTGAAAGTCCGTGTTGCCCAGCGACAGCCCCAAAACATCACTGCTCTAGAGGAGATCTGCATGGAGGAATGGGCCAAAATACCAGCAACAGTGTGTGAAAACCTTGTGAAGACTTACAGAAAACGTTTGACCTGTGTCATTGCCAACAAAGGGTATATAACAAAGTATTGAGAAACTTTTGTTATTGACCAAATACTTATTTTCCACCATAATTTGCAAATAAATTCATAAAAAATCCTACAATGTGATTTTCTGGATTTTTTTTCCTCATTTTGTCTGTCATAGTTGACGTGTACCTATGATGAAAATTACAGGCCTCTCTCATCTTTTTAAGTGGGAGAACTTGCACAATTGGTGGCTGACTAAATACTTTTTTTCCCCACTGTAGATGCAGTGTTGATCTGGGCCTGGACTCAGAGCCCAGGGTCTTGGTCCATTGGCACTAATCCATGAAACACAAATAAACATGTAGCCCTTAGAAACTTGTTTTGTATATCTGGAAGTATTGTAGGTGTAAGCAATATGCTGGTAGCTTCATCTTGACCTCTGATAGGCCAGGTGGGATTAAGGAAATGTCCTGTTGTGTTGTGTTTGTATTTTAAATTGGTACAGTATTGGTACACACTGTTTTGTTTATATATATAGCTAGCTAGATCTCAAAATGAGCTTGCTGGAGCTCGGATCTTGACTTGCAAGACACTGCTTATCTCTTCAATATAGTTAAAGGCAGGTAGCTAGGTATACGTGCTGGTAAATGTAATATAAAACCACTTCTAACTGTTTATTAACACCTTAAATATGCATCACCCATCTAGCAAGCTAGCTATTTGTAGCTAGCTAGTTCACCTTTGCTAAACAATCGCCCGCTGATCGTTTTGTGAATAGTGTGTATCGAATTCAGATTTCCTTTTTCTTTAAAAAACTAACTAGCTAAGTAGCTACTGTATATGTCTAGCTATTTATCTGTACCCATTTCTGGTGATCCATTGATCAAATCCATGATGTTTTGACGGCTGTGTCGCAAGCTACACGCAAACAAATCGTTAGGACCAATGAGAGTAGAGCTACTGAGTTCGGACCTCACATACACATGTCCATATATGGCATTGCGTTGGGAACCATATTGGATGTTCTATCCGGTGATGTCCCTGCAGAGAGCAGGTGGGGGAGGGAAACTACCCTTCCCGGATAGCTCTACTCCCCTCCTGCTTCGGGGTGTAGTGTGTGCTCGATAGGAGGTTGTGAGTCGAATCGACTCGCTTTCCACGTGCACAGAGTGGTTTGAAGCCAGTTGTGGACAGGGGTCTGGGAATCTCAATCGTCGGCCAGGATTTCGGTCAGGCGATTGGGGACTATGTGGCGGATCAAATATTTTCCGATAGAAGACGAAGGCCAAGATGTCGACAAAAGTCCAGACGATAGAATAGACGCCGGAGGGAGCAATGAAGAGGTCATTGTGGACTGTGAGGTCGAGGATAGAATAGACACCGGAAGGGAGGGCGAAAATTGAGTCCTTTGAGAAGGCAAGAAATAGATATTGGTTAGGAGTATTATCATAAGGAGACGTATACTTGGATGAATGAGGAGGAATGGAGGGAAAAAGAGAGGCAGAGGAGGTCTAAGAGAGAGAGGGAGGAAGACTGTGAGTTTGAGTCTGTAAAAAATGGCGGGAAAAAGGGAGAAGGTTTGTTAAAGAAGAGTGGTAGGAAATGTAAGCAAAGTGAGCTGAAGACAGGAGTAGAAATGGAAGAGGGTGAAGTATCGGAGGTGGTAGGTGTGGTGAAGTGCTCGGAGCCAGAGGCTTGTGCAGAGGGTCAGGATAAAGATGAGTCTGTGACAGTAGGAGTGAAGTTTGTGGAAAAAGTGGATCCTTGCCTTTTGGCTGATCCATTTGTGGTTTCAAGATGGGTGAAAAAAAGCGTTGGGTATAGTGGAATCGGTGAGGGTAACCAGAAGTGGTCTAGTAATAATTGTTTGTGTTTCTGTTGGGCAAAGGGAGAAGGCGCTTAGAGTTAAACAAATGGGGGAAAGAATTGTGAATTGTTTCGCTCTTAAGAAAAGGGTGCCATTGAGAGGAGTGATTACTGGGGTAGCAGTAAATGTAAAAGTGGATCAACTGAAGGAGAAGATTCCCGGTGTGTGTGATGCTCGTCATTTGGTGCGATGTAAACAGGGTGACGAGAGTGGGGAAACAGAAGAGTCATTGTCTGTTCTTTTGAGTTTTGAAGTTGAGTCTTTGCCGGATAAAGTGAAGTTAGGATATATAAGTTATCCTGTGCGAGCGTATGTGCCGAGTACGTTACGATGTTACAGGTGTCAAACTTATGGCCATGTGGCAGCAGTATGTAGGAGGGAGATTCCAAGGTGTGAGAAGTGTGCAGAAGGGCATGAGATTAAGGAGTGTGAAGCAGTGGGGAAAGTAGTGGTATGTGCTAATTGTAGGGGTGGCCATGGGGCTGGGGATCAGACATGTCCAGTGTGAGAGAAGCAGGTTGAGGTTTCCAGGGTAAGAGTAGAGAAGAAGTTGTCATATGCGGAGGCAGTTAAGAAAGTAGAGGAAGAGGGGTCAAGGGGGGGGAGTGGTGAGAGTAGGAGATATATACCAGTACAGTGGGATAGGCAAGCAAGTGATATATGTTTCAGTAAGATTGGGGTTTTAGCGTTTATAGCAATGGTTATTAATTGTACTGCAGGGATGGAAAGCAAATCGAAAAAAATTGAGGTTGTGGTGGCAGCTGCAGAGAGATATTTGGGTGTGCGAGTTACAGGGAGTGTTAAGTGGTGATGTCCCATCATTTCAGGTTGAGGGCATGAGGTAGGAGTGAGTATATTTAAATAGTGGAGAAGGGTGAGGTTAATTATTAGTAGTAGTTTTGAAGTTGTGAGTGTAGTGTTAGATGGTATGATATTTCTTTGCTTTGTTTTATGTATGAAAAAAAAAAAAAAACTAACTCACTAACTGTAAGTCGCTCCCTGTTAGTGAGCATTTCTCCTTTGCCAAGATAATCCATCCACCTGACAGGTGTGGCATATCAAGAAGCTGATTAAACAGCATGATCATTACACAGGTGCACCTTAAACTGGGGACAATTAAAGGCCACTTTAAAATGTGCAGTTTTGTCACACAACACAATGCCACAGATGTCTCATGTTTTAAGGGAGCGTGCAATTGGCATGCTGACTGCAGGAATGAAAATTGAATGCACATTTCTCTACCATAATTCATCTGCGTGCTCGTTGTTCTCATCAGGGTCTTGACCTGACTGCAGTTCGGTGTCGTAACCGCCTTCACTGGGCAAATGCTCACCTTCGATGGCCACTAGCACGCTGGAGAAGTGTGCTCTTCACAGATGAATCCCGGTTTCAACTGTACCGGGCAGATGGCAGCGTGTATGGCGCCGTGGCCGTGTGGGCGAGTGGTTTGCTGATGTCAACATTATGAACAGAGTGCCCCATGTTGGCGGCGGGGTTAAGGTATGGGCAGGCATAAGCTTTATCTATGGCAATTTGAATGCACAGAGATACCGTGACGAGATCCTGAGGCCCATTGTCATGGCATTCATCCGCCGCCATCACCTCATATTTCAGCATGATAATGCACGGCCCAATGTCGCAAGGATCTGTACACAATTTCTGAAAGCTAAAAATGTCCCAGGTCTTCCATGGCCTGCATACTCACCAGACATGTCATCCATTGAGCATGTTTGGGATGCTCTGGATTGACGTGTATGACAGCGTGTTCCAATTTCCGCCAATATCCAGCAACTTTGCACAGCCATTGAAGAGGAGTGGGACAACATTCCACAGGCCACAATCAGCAGCCTGATCAACTCTAGGCGAAGGAGATGTGTAGTGCTGCATGAGGCAAATGGTGGTCACACCAGCTTCTGACTAGTTTTCTGATCCATGCCCCTACCTTTTTTTAAAGGTGTCTGTGACCAACAGATGCATATCTGTATTCCCAATCATATGAAATCCATAGATTAGGGCCTAATGAATTTATTTCAATTGACTGATTTCCTTATATGAACTGTAACTCAGTAAAATCTTTGAAATTGTTGCGTTTTATATTTTTGTTTAGTGTAGTTATACAGTACAATGTCAATACTTGTGTGAAGTCCACTGTTATACTGTATGTTCCCTTCAGCTAAAATGTTGTCGTCTGATCTCAGGGCTTCTTGATCACGTGACTTTACTGCATTGCATATGGAGGGAAGGCCATTGCTGGGGTCATCAACCAGCCCTTCTTCAATTATCAGGTACCAACAAATAATCGACAACGACAAATTATTTTCTGTCTTATACCCTCTCACCCTATCAGGGCATGGCATGTTCAGTAGGGAGAAAATGTTTTGAAATAGGGAGATGTTACATGATTTTTCCAATAAGAACAGATTTTTCATTTATGGTTATAGAATATTTGCTACAGTGTGCCCTACTGAACACTACCTTGGTCCGTGAGTGTATAATGTCCTGTTTTTGTGTCCACAGCTGGGGACGGAGTCAGCAGACATGGGGAGAACTCTGTGGGGAACGCCTTCGGGTTCAAGCTACAGGAGGTCCCGGATGGCCGACGCATCGTCACCACGACCCGTTCCCACAGCAACAAACTTGTCACAGACACCGTGGATGCCGTGGAACCTCATGATGTGATAAGAGTCGGCGGAGCAGGAAATAAGGTGAAATATACAGGGATGGGAAGGTATAGGGGTGCATAGGTATCAATATACAGTGCCTTCAGAAAGTATTCACATCCCTTAACTTTCCACGTTGTTCTTACAGCCTGAATTTCAAATGGCTTAAATAGAGATTGTGTCACAGTGTGTAGATGGGTGAGGGGGATTTTTTATATATTTTTTAAATTCTGTCCAACACAATGTGGAATAAGTCGAGGTATGAATACTTTCTGAAGACACTAACTATAAAATGTAGTCTTACTCCTCTGTTGCACCCTTTCTTTGTGTAGATTATTCAATTTGTGGAGGGGAAGGCTTCAGCCTATGTCTTTGCCAGTCTAGGAACTAAAAAGTGGGACACCTGTGCCCCTGAAGCCATCCTGCATGCAGTTGGAGGTAAGCAACATCCTTCCTCTATCTTACTGTAACTACCTCCTAATTGTGACTAAGGACAGTAATAATGTTGCCTGCTGTTTTTTTTGCCTGTCCCTCTACAGGTAAGCTGACAGACATGCTTGGCAATGTGTTGTGTTACGATGCTAACGTGAAGCACATGAACTCCGCTGGGGTGCTGGCCACTCTACACAACCACCAGTATTATGCTAGCAGAGTGCCCCAGTCAGTCCTGCAAGCTCTCAAGCCCTGATTGATACATTTACTGTACAACTTATTGTCAAAAAACACTGCCAAATTAGCATAAATGTTTTAGCATCTTGAGAATCGTATGTTTTAATTTCTATAATTGTCTGTGTAACATGTTGCACATCAGTGTTAACACTGCACTTTTATGCTGTGTATTGTATAGGTAATTGTTGACTAGGAAAATCAGGCCATGTTTTTGACACTTCTGGTGTAAATAATAACTGATTCATTACCCAAAATGGTATGGCAAAACGTAGGCTAGCCTGGCTGACACATGTGACTTCAAATCAGAAGACTTCGAGAGCTGGTGTCAGCCAGTCAGGCTTGACCTTCAAACCAAAACATATGTCCAAACATTCTAAATTGGTTGATACCATCTGTCTGACATGTCTTTATTACCTTTCTGGTGGACAGCGCAACAACACTAGGCCCTCCTCCAACGCATTATTATAATGTTTTAACTAGGCAAGTCAGTTAATAACAAATTCTTATTTACATTGATGGCCTACCCTGGCCAAACCCGGACGACGCTGGCCAATTGTGCGCAGACCTATGTGACACGGCCGGATTGCGATACAGCCTGTAGTGACGCCTCTAGCACTGAGATGCAGTGCCTTAGACCGCTGCGCCACTCGGGAGCCAATTAAACCAGTTTTTCTTTTTACCGATCAGTTTCTGGTTTGAAAGGCACCCTAAAGCATAATGACAGACATGAGGCAGGGTCAAACAGCACTGTTTCATTTATTCCATTCAAAGATTGAAACAAACTTGTACAAATCTCAACTGTTTAAAACATTGACAGTTTCCAACTTGAATAGAGACCGATAGATGAGAACAAGGCAAAAGGCAAGATATGCCCTAACTCAAACTAAAATTATATTTTGTTATTTAAATATTCCTTAGTAAACTCATTAGTTGGATGAGAATAATAATTCTGAACCAGATATTGGAATCAGCATACAGGAAAGATACACCAAGTAGATATACTCACTGGCTCATGCATTCTGATGCCTTGCTTGTTGTTGAAGTCTTCAGCCTCTTTAGGCAGTCAATCTACCACTGGGAGACAGCAATGTCTAAGTAACTGATACTGCTGAGTACAAAGTGCCATCTCTGCGAGATTGGTAAACATGCTCTTGACCTCCTCCGTGTGTAATATGTCATGTTTACAAGAACTGCAGGGGCAATGCTGAAAACAGCTCATACGTTTTTTTAAAACAACAAAACTTCTAGTGAGGCCAACTGGTCGTGTGTGTGTGAGAAAAAGAATAGGCTACTGAACACCAATTGAAATCCGGTGCAATTGACTTGCCTTTAACTTCTCAAGCCACAACCATCTATGCATTCTCACAGGCATACAGTAAAAGCAATGTCCTTAACAAACAGTCTTCAGAAATGGAAGCAGGTTCAGTGGATAAGAGGAGAGGCTGTTGTGGTGATGGAAGGGCTTGATTCAAAACCAACAGGCATTTGGGAGACCCATTTGTGAGCCCTTTGAGTTAGGACACACATGACCTTAACTGTACTAGTACTTCTGTTAATATGTATAGCATGTGTATGCAATACATGCCCCGTGTGTATATACCGTCAATGTGTATGGTCTGCTAATATGCATTTGTACGAGCACTTTCAAAGTAATTTTTGTTAATACTTCATTAGTGTCCACATAAAGAGAAAACATTATTGAGTCCAACGGTGAAAGTGACATTCTCCAAACTCACTAGGAGGCTAAACCATTCCACTCAGTTACTGTAGCCAAAATGTGGGAGGAAAATGGCCATGTTATTAGTAATATTGTGAGAAGGTTACGTACGTATTAGCAGGGAAAATGCAAGGGGGGCAATATCTGCCTTACGTTATAGGTCTGGAAGAGTCAACGTTGTTGGCTGGGGTAAAGAACCCACCTCACTCACACACTCAAATAAAAATCAATACTTTTTCTATATTTGAAGGCAGAAAAGCGTCCGTTCCAAATGTGTTGCCCCTTTCCACAAAAGGTTTGTATCGTATTGCTGCACCTTAACCCGAGCAACACATTTCATAGCATTGAAAAACCACGAATCACTTACATTATGAATAAAAATACCAACAAACAAGCAAAAAAACAAACATTGTTCACAGCAAAGATTTTATGTTTTACACATATGAAAAAGGTGAGTGGGGTCAGGGGTGGGGGGGGGCTAGAGCGCTTCCCATAGATGGGAGGGAGAGGACAGGACGTTGCAGGGGACAGCAGGGGAAAGGGTGCGAGGAGGAGGCGTGACGGGGGGGCCAGGCGCTCACCTCTTCTTGGGGGCTTGGGCAGTACGAGGCGGGGTTACGGGTCGTCCCGAGTTCACCCCCCCATACTGGTACTTAGCTTTTTTCTCTGACGGCTTCAAAATCTGAGAGAGAAAGAGAGAAAGTATTAACACTTAGTGTGCTTTCAGCAATGGGAGACTCATCCACAGTAAGTGTGTTTACGTGTGTGTTCTCACCTGAAAGGAACACATGAGGGACTCGTCAACGCTCATCATGCCCCCAGCGTTATCAAACTCCCCGCAGTAGTTGGGAGCCGAGAACAGCGTCACCAGCTGCCGTTTGGCAAAGAACTCGTAGCCGTCCTCAACAACCTTCAAGTACAGAACAACACTTGAGTTAATGAACATCCTTTAGAGACGCATCCTAATGAACATAGCCCTCAGTATCCTTTAGCGATGCATCCTAATGAACATAGCCCTCATACATTAGGCTCTACCTGGTGGGCTCTGCAGATGAGGTCCAGGTCGTGGCGGTTGAGGAACTTGCTGACCACGTCGGCCCCGAAGGTGAAGGAGACGCCCCGGTCGTTTTCCCCCCAGCCCTGCACGTCTTTGTCTGGATCCGACCACAGCAGGTCACACAGCAGGCCTAGCACAGAGAGAATGCAGTCAGAGCCACCACAAATACATCACATGTACCACACACACACGTTAACACACCTGTGTCAGGGACATCAGTGGGCCTCATGATGCGTCGGATTTGCTCCATGGACTGTAGATCAGGAGAGAGACCTGAGGAAGAAGGATGATTGTTAATTAATAATATTTATAGAATTTTTTTTGATAAAAAGCCCCCACGCATACCTCCATGGCAGCAGAAGATCTTCTCATCGATTATAGCGGCGATAGGCAGACAGTTGAAGCAATCTGTGAAGGTCTTCCACAACTTTATGTTGAATCTGCGTTTGCCTGGGGAACACAACATAGAAAGACATGGAATTACACTAAGTATATAAAACATTAAGAACACCTGCTCTTTCCATGACATATACTGACCAGTTGAAAGCTATGATCCGCATTGGAGTTAACATGCGCCAGCATTCCTGTGGAACACTTTCGACACCTTGTAGAGTCCATGCCCCGATGAATTGAGGCTGTTCTGAGGGGGTGCAACTCAATATTAGGAAGGTGTTCCTAATGTTTGGTATACTCAGTGTATATTGACAGTAGAGAACATAAAAACCATTGCCATTATGAATCTTCCAACCTCACTCTGAGAAAGATAACTGATTCATCATGTATATGTGTGTGCCACTGCTTCCTGTCTTACACTCGTCATAGAAACCGTAGATGCGGTTGATGGAGGCACACTCGTGGTTGCCTCTGAGTAGGAAGAAGTTCTCGGGGTATTTGATCTTGTAGGCCAGCAGTAGACAGATGGTCTCCAGCGACTGCTTGCCTCGGTCCACGTAGTCCCCAAGGAACAGGTAGTTAGCCTCCGGCGGGAAGCCCCCGTACTCAAAGAGCCTCAGTAGGTCTGTGTACTGGCCATGGATATCACCTAGTGAGAGAAAGTGGGAGATAGAGAACAGAGGTTGTGAGACGACCATTATTTTATGTTATCTTTAACCAGGAAAGTCACATTGAGATTGACTATTTTTTTTATATGAGCCCTGGACACAGGAGTGGAGAGAGAGCTTGAGCCAGATTGTCCTTTATGGAAGGGAGATGGCCCCATCCTGCAGAGACACTTGGGGGAGACACACCACTTATATCCTACTGCTCTACTTACTGAGCTAGGCCTATGTAATAATAATAAATAATAATAATATGCCATTTAGCAGACGCTTTTATCCAAAGCGACTTACAGTCATGCGTGCATAAATTTTTTGTGTATGGGTGGTCCCGGGGATCGAACCCACTACCTTGGCGTTACAAGCGCCGTGCTCTACCAGCTGAGCTACAGAGGACCACACTGTCTCTCCAATGTGTTATCCTATCCTCTCCTTTTGGTTTAAAGACAACTGTGTGTGTGGTGAGGATGCCCTTTTCATGGTCATGTAAATTCACAAACATTAGGCCTATGTCTTTATTCAGACAGCTTATATTTTTCTAACCCTGGTATGTCTCATACATTTCTCATATGCTATTTGTGCTCTCAGGAGGAAAGAGAGAGGACCCAGGAGTAAGGATATAGCAGGAGGGAGAACTAATTGTACTGACCGCAGATTTTGAGCGGAGCCTCCAGCTCCAGTAGGATGGGCTGACTGAGGAAGATCTCCCGGGATTTGATGCACAACCCCCGCACCTCCGCCTCCGTCATCTGGACTATCTTCCCTGGACGACATCCTCGCACTTGAGGAGAGAAAGATAGGGCGATCAATCACAACCATGAGTCATGACCCTTCTCTCCATTTGAATCGTGCTGGCTTTAAAATGTTTCATGTGCTTTTCATCGTCTTCAAATCAGTGCAGAATGTACAACCACCTTAAAGTGGCAAATCTGCAGTTGAAACAAAGTGTTCAACCCATCCGTTTCGGTAAAAAGCTGAAGGATAGGGCTGGAGAAGTGTAACCACTCAAATTCATAGACAGTAGGATGTGCCCGACTAAAAAACATATTTGTCGATGTGAGAGTTGTCTGTTCTTTCGACCAGACGACTCTCACGTCGACAAATATGTTTTTTTAGTCGGGACAACCCTACTGAAATGTTAAAACGTGTATTTTTCCCATACAGTGGGGGAAAAAAGTATTTAGTCAGCCACCAATTGTGCAAGTTCTCCCACTTAAAAAGATGAGAGAGGCCTGTAATTTTCATCATAGGTACACGTAAACTATGACAGACAAAATGTGGAGAAAGAAATCCAGAAAATCACATTGTAGGATTTTAAATGAATTTATTTGCAAATTATGGTGGAAAATAAGTATTTGGTCAATAACAAAAGTTTCTCAATACTTTGTTATATACTCTTTGTTGGCAATGACACAGGTCAAACGTTTTCTGTAAGTCTTCACAAGGTTTTCACACACTGTTGCTGGTATTTTGGCCCTTTCCTCCATGCAGATCTCCTCTAGAGCAGTGATGTTTTGGGGCTGTCGCTGGGCAACACAGACTTTCAACTCCCTCCAAAGATTTTCTATGGGGTTGAGATCTGGAGACTGGCTAGGCCACTCCAGGACCTTGAAATGCTTCTTACGAAGCCACTCCTTCGTTGCCCGGGCGGTGTGTTTGGGATCATTGTCATGCTGAAAGACCCAGCCACGTTTCATCTTCAATGCCCTTGCTGATGGAAGGAGGTTTTCACTCAAAATCTCACGATACATGGCCCCCATTCATTCTTTCCTTTACACGGATCAGTCGTCCTGGTCCCTTTGCAGAAAAACATTTTGTCTGTCATAGTTGACGTGTACCTATGATGAAAATTACAGGCCTCTCATCTTTTTAAGTGGGAGAACTTGCACAATTGGTGGCTGACTAAATACTTTTCCCCCCCCACTGTATATAGACACACCCTATGTTTGAATAAAATCAACTATATGTAGGCTACTTTGCCTGATGCTTTTAGTGCTGCAATTAAAAATTACCACAAATTACTAAAAAGAGGGAGCAAGAGATCAATATAGCCTAACCAGAAGAAAAAAAACCTGTTCCCAACCTGACCCTTCTCCCGCTGGCCTTTGCAGATTCTGCAATTATGCTCCTGAAGTTGCCAATAGGCTACACCAGCGGTCGGCAACCTTTTCCCTTTGGCGTGCCAAGTTATCGTACCATTTCTTTCTACTGATCTGCGTGCCAGTTGTGATTTTCATATGCAAATTTTTGTGGAACAGTTTCATTTCATTTATAATAAAGTCTTCATATCTCAAAATCAATGTCATGTGGTTAATCAACATTCTAAAAGTAACTTCTATTGCCATTGCCAATATGTAAAAATAGCCTACATAAAGCCAACAATTAAAAACATTGCAGCACGCAGGTAGAAAATATCCTGATAAAAATAAATATCCTATAATCAAATCAAATTTTATTTGCCACATGCGCCAAATACAACAGGTGTAGACATTACCGTGAAATGCTTACTTACAGCCCTTAACCAACAATGCATTTATTTTTTATAAAAAAGTAAAATAAAACAACAACAAAAAAGTGTTGAGAAAAAAAGAGCAGAAGTAAAATAAAATAACAGTAGGGAGGCTATATATACAGGGGGGTACCGGTGCAGAGTCAATGTGCGGGGGCACCGGCTAGTTGAGGTAGTTGAGGTAATATGTACATGTGGGTAGAGTTAAAGTGACTATGCATAAATAATTAATAGATAACAGCCAATCACATTGGCTATGCATGGCCTGTCTGCAAGGAACTTGAAACATTGTATCAACCAACCATTAACTTGGTTCCAGCCTGAAGCTGGAGCTAGCAAACTTGCAACATTGTATAAAATATTCTGGGCCCTCAGTTTCCCTCATCAGTGAGCTCCTGACAGACAGACACAGCTGTAGGCTACTTTGCGCAAGGGATAAGAAGTAATCGGGTAGGGCTTTTTCAAGAAATGTCCACCAGATCAGAGCATGACATTTTTCCCCTTTCATGCTGAGTGGTTATCGAAAGAGAGAGAGCTGGAATTATTTTTCAAATAGGCTACGTTGAGGAACTATTGTCATTCTCAATGGATGTAAAAACAGACTTTGTTTACTTGCTTTTTGAGCCAAAGAAAAAAGTACTTTGAGAAAATAGTATCAGATCCCCAAATGGGCACATTTATAAGCCTACATTTGCACGCAGGCCAGGTAGCCTAGGCCTACTTCTATGTGTAATCAGGTGCATGTCCTTACTCAAGATTGACAGGAGCGCGCCAACTCCTGTGTAGCCTAGGTTGTGCGCTCTGCAAACAATGTGTCCACTCCTACAATGACAACAGTAAGACTGTAATAATATATTGAATGCATTAACAGAAATTACCGTAACCAAACAAACACTGTAGATTAGAAATGATGGTAATTAGCAGTAAATGTACTACTGGTGTGCCATCCCTGCGGCCTCCACAATGGATTAGTCCACTCAGACAGGCGTCTCGTGTGCCCTATTTTATTTTTTTATAGAATTGCCACTGCTCGACTAAATAAATCTTGGCCGACCAGTCGACTAAATGGGTTCATCCGTAATAGACAGAGATATGGATGCAAGGACTGACCATCCATGATTTCAAAATTATAGTTTTAACCCCCTAAGGTCGATGTCCGCGCCCCCGCAGAAATCTTATTAGCATAATTAAAAAATCCCCATAAAAATATGTCAGTTTAAGCTAGAGATACAGTATATATGGAAACTGTGAAAAAAAAGTGAAGTGAAAAACCAAAAATACATGTAAACTAAATAAATAATGTTTCCTGATCTTTGTTATATCTCTCAGATATAGGATATACACTTCAGAACAAACTTCCTTTAGATGTTTTTTTTTTTTTGGGGGGGGGGTGTATCAGCTGTTCCATGTAGTGAAGGTGTTATTCAATGTGTTCATATGGGCTAATAGCAGTAAGGCCAAAAATGATTTTTCATCATTTCCAAAACATTTCTGAATATTTTAAATAACGAAAATAGTCATTGCATAAACTGTGGCTTAACAAAATCACATAATAAGTTACATAGACTAAATAATAGGGGTTGACATGATTTTTTAATAACTCTCCCTTCCTCTGTATTCAGAACACTTCCCTTTCCCCCAAAAATTTTACATTACAGCTTTATTCTAAAATGGATTGAATTAATTGTTTTCCTCATCAATCTACACACAATACCCAATAATGACAAGAGCAAAAACTGGTTTTTATAATTTATTTCACATTAATTTAAAATAAAAAACAGAAATACCTTATTTACATAAGCATTCAGACCCTTTGCTATGAGACTCGAAATTGAGCTCAGGTGCATCCTGTTTCCATTGATCATCCTTGAGATGTTTCCACAACTTGATTGGAGTCCACCTGTGGTAAATTCAATTGATTGGACATGATTTGGAAAGACACACACCTGTCTATAAGGTCCCACAGTTGACAGTGCATATCAGTGCAAAAACCAAGCCATGAGGTTGAAGGAATTGTCCGTAGAGCTCTGAGACAGGATTGTTTCGAGGCACAGATCTGGGGAAGGGTACCAAAAAATGTATGCAGCATTGAAGGTCCCCAAGAACACAGTGGCCTCCATCATTCTAAAATGGAAGAAGTTTGGAACCACCAAGACTCTCCTAGAGCTAGCCACCCGACCAAACGGGGTAGAAGGGCCTTTGTCAGGGAGGTGACTAAGAACCCGATGGTCACTGACAGAGCTCCAAAGTTTCTCTGTGGAGATGGGAGAACCTTCTAGAAGGACAACCATCTCTACAGCACTCCACCAAGCTGGCCTTTATGGTAGAGTGGCCAGACGTAAGGCACTCCTCAGTAAAAGGAACATGACAGCCCGCTTGGAGTTTGCCAAAAGGCACCTAAAGGACTCTAAGACCATGAGAAACGAGATTGAACTCTTTGGCCTGAATGCCAAGCGTCACGTCTGGAGGAAACCTGGCACCATACCTACGGTAAAGCATGGTGGTGGCAGCATCATGCTGTGGGGATGTTTTTCAGCGGCAGGTACTGGGAGACTAGTCAGGATCAAGGGAAAGATGAGCGGAGCAAAGTACTGAGAGATCCTTGATGAAAACCTGCTCCAGAGCACTCGGGACCTCAGACTGGGGCGAAGATTCACCTTCCAACAGGACAATGACCCTAAGCACACAGCCAAGACAACACATGAGTGGCTACGGGACAAGTCTCTGAATGTCCTTGAGTGGCCCAGCCAGAGCCCGGACTTGAACCCGATCGAACATCTCTGAAGAGACCTGAAAATATCTGTGCAGCGACGCTCCCCATCCAACCTGACAAAGCTTGAGGATCTGCTGAGAAGTTTGGGAGAAACTCCCCAAATACAGGTGTGCCAAGCTTGTAGCGTCCTAACCAAGAAGACTCAAGACTGTAATCGCTGCCAAAGGTGCTTCAACAAAGTACTGAGTAAAGGGTCTGAATACTTATGTAAATGTGATCTTTCCAGTTTTTTTTTTTTTTTTTTTGTAAAAATGTATAAAAACATGTTTTTGCTTTGTCCTTATAGGGTAGTGTGTAGATTGAGGGAAAAAACCAATTGAATCCATTTTTGAATAAGGCTGTAACGTAACACATTTTGAAAAAAGTCAAGGGGTCTGAATACTTTCCGAATGCACTGTACATACAATTTACAATTTAGTCATTTAGCAGACGCTCTTATCCAGAGTGCATACTTTTTTTTTTTTTTTCATACTGGCCCCCCGTGGGAAACGAACCCACAACCCTGGCGTTTCAAGCGCCATGCTCTACCAACTGAGCTACAGGGGACTACTTACTACATCTGTAAGGTCTCTCGGTCAAGTATTGAATTTCAAGCACAGATTCAACTACAAATACCAGGGAGCTTTTCGAAAACCTCTTAAATAAGGGCAGTGATTGCTAGATGTGTAACAATAACAAGTCAGACATTGACCATCTCTTTAAGCATGGTCAAACTCATTGAACATCATTCAGCCCGTAAGTCACGACGTGAGAGTCAGAGTGGTGGTCAGAGTGGTGGTTTGACGGTGAGTAGCTTGCCACAGCGTATTTGAATAAGTAAATAATCAAAAAGTACAGTTCACCAAGCAAGCAGCCCTATCCTCATCACATGCTCACTTGGTTAACGTTAGCTGGCTAGCTATCCAGCAATGTAGTTAGGCTCCATCTAGCCAGCAAGGTAGTTAGCCTAGCTACTAGCTAGCAATCTGTGCTATTTATGTGCGAACACTGGACTGGCACCAGTCAACACCAACTCATCCTTCATACAAAAATAACACTTACTATCTGGGCCTATTATGTTAGTGGGCTTATTTAGTTAGTTATGGTTTCAGTAAGAAAACATTTTCATAATGAACAGCTAACGTGTGAAGCGCAACATTACAAATATTTTTCAAGATGTCAGATAATCGTGACATTACGTACTTTTTAGGAAAATAGACACGTTTTTCGACTCACACCCTGACTTTGAGAAGTGATTGCGTGATGATTAGCTTAGCAACCGCGTGACGCAGCATGACAACGTGAACGCGATTGGTCGACAGTCTGAAGGGTGGGGCGATATACGTCCCTCCATTCATTGCCCAATGGGATTCCTATCTCCTCCTTTCTCTAATATCTCTGGAGACATTAAACTGTGACACTGTTGTTGTGATTATTCATTACTATAACTTGAAGATATTCCTTGGATGGGGACAATATGAAAAAATGTGTCGCCATGATATACTATTGATTGATTGCTGGAGTGAAAGCAGGTATCACTCCAGTTGCCTACAGGCTTTTTGAGGAGCTACTCTCTCGGTGTCTGACAGGTGGTAGGCTATTCCGCTCCTCAAACTAGGCTCTGTATGCTGTGCATGTGTGATAAATAAAAGGCATGATGACTAACGAAAATACACACGCACCAATTGAATTCAACAAAACTTTGCAAATTAACCTATAGACCAATAAGCATGATCAGTCAAATGTATTTGCTAATCCAGGCTCTGTTGTAGCCGGCCGTGACCGGGAGACCCATGGGGCGGCGCACAATTGGCCCAGCGTCGTCCAGGGTAGGGGAGGGAATGGCAGGCAGGGATGTTGGTAAAGCATGGCTTTTGCAACGCCAGGGTTGTGGGTTCGATGAAAAAAATAAAAAAAACTGTAAGTCGCTCTGGATAAGAGCGTCTGCTAAATGACTAAAATGTAAATGTAATGACATTTAGAATTTAGGCATTCTGCCCGATTGGACAAATGGCAGAGGATTGCAGGTCACAGACACTTGATTTTCATTACAGTAATAGATTGGCTAACGCTTTTTAGGGAGTCACTGAGTGACTTAGGCAAGCTCCCGGCTAGTGGTCTGGACGTAATTGAGTTGGGATTAGGGATGCAAATTTCAGGACATTTTTCTGCAGAGTAAACACATTTTGGTCATTTTTGCTGCCGATTATCTGACCCTCATTAACCTATCAGAATATTTGTAAACATTTTTTAAAAACAGTAAAATCACGTGATCAACAGAAAATACTATGTATGCATACAAGGAACTGACATTTTTCATTAAGAGCTTAATGGAAACATGCAACAATAGCAAGCCTATCGTCAGCTACTAAAATTTAATTTTCAAAAATTTGCCAAAATACAATTAGTGTGAAAACACCATTCTAAACGGCGCACCTAATGCGAGCAGTTCCAAATGTGACAGAGATGAAAATATATTTTAGATACTTAGAAAGAGGGGGAATGTAATAGCAACAACTAGGATGGGTTGCTAATATGACTAGGATTGTACGTTTGGCTTCTGGAAAACCAAAGAAAGTTGATATGAAAACCAATACAACGGGAGAGAAAGGCTGGTTAATGGCACAAGGAAGTCTTTATAAAATAATTGCCTCCATGTTTCTATGGTGGGATTTTGGCTAGGCTACTTTGAAGCAAGGTAAGAAACGCCTCATTATTTCAAGTAAAGTAAAACGTTTAGGTTTCAAACAATTATACTGCCTCAAGCTCACATTGCAAAGTGGTGGGTGACTCGCTGATAGCCTGCCTACCATTGACTATAGCCTATGCACTCGATTGGGGAACGGGAGGCGCGCTTTAATTACGAGTTGAGATTGAGAAATAAAAATAGTAGCTCTTTTTAATCATGGCCATCAAAACAGTTTAACACATGATTGCTATTTAGAATTGTTATTTGTTGCGCAATGACTAGGCTTATAAAAGCACTTTTCACTCCAGTACCAGCTTTTTTAGGAGCTGCTTCCGCGCTGTCTGACAGGTGATAGGCTATTCCGCTCCTCAAACTAGGCTCTGTATGCTTTGCATGTGATAAATAAGATACATGAGGACTAATGAAACTACACACGCGCCAATTTAATTCCACACAATTATGCAAATTAACCTATAGACCGATAAGCATTACTGGTCAAATGTATTTTCGGGGGCTAACCGATTAAAGGTTATCCATTAACATCCCTAGTTGGGATTTTTCAAAGGCTTGCCATTTTAGTTCAGCAATGTGCTGAACTGAATAGAACAGGTGGTTGTCACTGTTGCTGAGTGTTCCAAGTGGGACAGAGTGTCAGGACAGTGTATTATTTAGGCCAATAAATACAGATCAGGTTGACTGTACTCTTCAACAACTCCTTGAAATTCACCTTGGCTGTTTTGAAACGTATTCAGTATTTCTATGAAAAAAAGCTATCCAGACAAACATGCTAAAGTGTGACATCTTCCATTGGTGATTTCAGGCCAGAGATAAAACGCTAAGGTGGGTACATATCCAACAAACATTGAGAGCGGTTTATAAAAAGACTAACTAGCTACTGAAGCGAAACTGAGTAGCCACCAAGGGCAGGTTAAATCAATGTTATGGCTGCTCGAGTTGACGCATACCAGCTAACTAGGGTTTGTCTGTGTTCTTGCTACCTATAACGTTACACATAGACAAATGACTAAATTAAAGGCATTCTTACTTCACTAACAACGTAATAGCCCCTATACAGCCTTACATTGAAAACCAATGTGAATGTAGTTTGCTAGCTAGCTTAACAACTAACTGACGACCTAGCAACATGGACAGAGAGGGGGGTGGGGGTTCCCGCTGGCAAACCAAGCTGTCCACTTACAAAGACCCCTCTCATCAAGGTGTAAAAGCTGATGTTAGCTGGCTAGGCACAAAAATATATTTAAAAAATAACATCCCTGTCCTGCGCAAATAGTATTTAGCTAGTTAGCTAATTTAGTAATCTAGAGTAACGTTTGCTTGCATGATCATACATCTACTGTAACACACCGCGTTAGCTAACATAACACAAATCAAACGTGACAACAGATATTTATATTCAAACAGGTGTTGCCTTTTCGGCAAATTAGCTAACTAGTTCTTGTTAAATTGTAGTTAGCTAAACCTAAACATGGCATAACACACTGTTAGCTAATGCTAAAGTCACTGTACTTTGTTGAACCACATCCCACTCTCCCACCTTCCTCCTCTGGCTCTGACGCGCTAACGTTAGCTAGCTAGCAAAGTCAACTGGCGTTACCAAAAATGATTTTACATTCGTTATTCGACACCTGACCATAACATGAAATCATGTTAGACCTGTTTTCTGTGCTGTCCCCACCAAATAACCACAAGGTTAATTGCAAAATAAAAAATATCATACCTTCAAGCAATCGTGAGATGATGCTGTCAACGTTGAGCTCGCTTTCCGCCATTTTCTTTGAAACACTAAAAACTACTACGCAGAGAGAACTACGTCGTGCTCACCAGCAGAGGGAGTGGTCTACTACTGTACCAACTGTACAGTTTATTTTGGTTCACTCTTTCTCTATTTTGGCAAAGATTTGAAACCAGCAGTACGGTACTATATTAGTTTTTGTATTTTTTTTGGGGGGGGGGGGGGGGGTACAAAACATTTTGCAGGTAGCTTTCTTTACCTTTCACGGAAGCTGACCTGCCTGCAGACACAGTCAATTCTAAGTGTATTAACATAATTTGGGGATATTCATTACTTTTATTGTGACCCTCTATCATAGCTCTATTAAATATTAACACGGTGAACAAACTTGTTGTGTACCTCAATAAAATACCCCCCTTTCTCCCTTTGTTAATCTCCATGGACAATGGCTCCCATTTCTATTGCATGGGCTTGGGTTACGCTGACCTATCCATCCTGGTAATTCATAGGGGCTCACCTGATGCAATTGAATGCCAACATTTCTCTTTTGAAATACCCAATGACATAGTTACTGACAATTTAACTGTTTTGGTTGATAGAAAGCTGTTATTGTCCATGACACCTAAATGCTTTTGATACTGTATTTTCACACTCAAATTTATAGAAAAAAATCTCTAGAAAAAAGTATTTGTTATCTGTTTCTGAATGGAATGTACATCAACAACGTTTATTGTTTTAAATAAATACAAAGGAATATGGAAATGCAAGGTGTACAAAACACACTTTATTCATACAAGAAAGCAGGAAGAAAATATGCCATAATCAGTGTGCATTTACAAAACAATTAGCAAATCTATTACATACTTTGTATCCAATATGTTTATGTTTACTACAACACTATACACTCATGTGTGCATGTGTGTGCGTACGCGCATGTTTGCGTGCGTGTGTATGCATGTGTGTGTGTTTGTGTGTTTGTGTTTATATCTGAGCCTTTGTGACCATTTCCAAACACCCTCTTAGAATTGAATATCATTAGAAACCAGTTCCTTTCATCTTAACCTCTTTCTCTCCCATTTTCCTCTTATTCTGCCGTTCTCTGCAGGACATGAGTAGCCAGGTGATTCCACAGCCAATCAGTAAGCCAGTGATGCCCAGCAACACGGGTACCCACACAGGTATGGAGGAGTCACACCGGGGCACAGGGCTGGGGGTGGAGGTGTTAGTGACTGGGACAGGGGTGGTGGTGGTAACAGGTGGACTCGGGAGGCTATTGACCTTAGTGAAGATGAAGGGTTGATCCTAAAGGAGAGAGCAAATTTCAGTTTAGGGGGAACTAACCTGAGCATAGATCTTCTTCTGAGACATTGTAAGAAGTAGCTTTTAGTAGGTGATATGGCTAAAATGGTCTGCTACTCAACCAACACACTCGACAACCCACAAGCACTGTCGAGTTAGCCTACAACTGACTCACTGATTGCCATTTAGCCAACACCTGACCAACCCTGCTGAAAAAAATAGCAAATACCAGCATGCATTTTCATGCTTGTCTATGCCGGTTCATGCTGGACTATGCTGGTCAAGCTGGTCTGAACAGCATGGTCTAGCTCAGGGATGGGCAACGTTGATGGGGGTGGGGGCCACAGAAAATCTGAACTAATCATAAGGGGCTCCACTCTTGACATTGGAGAGAAGTTTTGGAGTACATTTCCTGCAATTCTACACATTTTGCCATGGGCCGTAGAGAAAATGTTGCAATTTTAAAGCAAGTTTGCTACAATTCTGCACATTAAGCCATGGGGTGGAGAGAATATTTTGCAATTTTATAACTAATTTCATGCAATTCTATTCATTTGGCCATGGGGAGAGAGAAATGTTTGCAGTTTTTAAGCTAATTTCCTGCAATTCTACACATTTTTCCTTGACCGATGCCATGTTAATATGACTGACATCTCAGTGGATGTGACAAAAAAAATCAATGGGGGCCCCCTGGAAGTCAGGGCCCCTGGGCACGAGCCCGGTCAGTAATTCGACCATGATTACTACAAGTTTAGATAGCTGGCTAGACTAATTTACCAATCTAAAAAGTTTTAGTTGACATGGGCTAATTGAGTGACTGTCAGTGACTGACATAACAAGAGAAAAACTGCTGATTCACCACCAAATTTCGAAATTGCACCTTGTGTATTTTACTATTCTAACGCTCAACAGTAAGTTGAGACCCCGACTGAGTTACCGCCCCCAAAAAAGTATATACTGTATATTTATACATTTTTTTGGGAAATTGATCCATCCCTAGTCTAGCTGATGAAGCTGGTCTGACCAGCAGAGTCTAGCTGGTTCATAGATTGTATATATACTGTAAATGGATAAAGCCATCGATCACGTGACACCATTCATTCCTATGTGAAGACTCAATAGAGCATTTGAAGCCAGGGGGAAGATCTCAATTGCATACTCCTCGCGTCCTCTCTCCTCGTCTCCTTCTAAAAACACATTGGAGTAGAAGGTCAGAGGGGAGGGACCTCTGGCTTTCTCATCCAATGGGTTTTGAGTAGGAGACGAGGCGAGAGGACGCGAGCAGTATGCCCTTGAGATCTTCCCATAGAAATTGATTTACCCATGAGATGCCAGCTTAATAAGATGGCGTCTCATGGAGACATAAAATGCGCAGTTTGAGCTAGTCCAGGAAGTGATGTTGCAGGCTAGCTCAGTGCTGCCCCCTCTCATTGAGGATCTCAAGTTGAAGGCCGACCAGGCTGACCGGGGTACTGCAGGCTGCAGATAGAATCTAAATTATATTTTTAAAGGTGCAATATGCAGAAATCGCACCGACATTTCCTGGTTGCTAAAATTCTAATAGTTCATTTAATTTCTGTTTATGTGGGAAAACAAGCAGTCATTGTGTAGATAATCATTGTACTGTCTAAACCGCTGTGAAATATATATTTCCATAACCAAAAATATTGTATTTTCAGCTGTTTGAAGCTGATGTACGAAACCGAAAGTAAAAGACGCAAAAAAGAAACTGTAGCACAGGAAGCAAAGAAATAGCGCACATACAACAGATCTACCGCTTCTTAGACTTGCTTTCAATGACAATGACAGATCTTTAACTCACATTTCTATTTGAATTTGGTCGGGTCACCCAAAAAGTTACATATTGTAGCTTTAATGTCTGCAATTTTAAAATCATTGGTTCAAGGACATACACTATATATACAAAAGTATCTAGACACTCCTTCAAATTAGTGGATTCGGCTATTTCAGCCACACCCGTTGCTGAAAGGTGTATAAAATCAAGCACACAGCCATGCAATCTCCATAGACAAACACTGGCAGTAGAATGGCCTTACTGAAGAGCTTAGTGACTTTCAACATGGCACCGTCATAGGACGCCACCTTTCCAATAAGTCAGTTCGTCACATTTCTGTCCTGCTAGAGCTGCCCCGGTCAACTGTAAGTGCTGTTATTGTGAAGTGGAAACGTCTAGGAGCAACAACGGCTCAGCCGCGAAGTGGTAGGCCACACAATCTTACAGAACGGGACCGTCAAGTGCTGAAGCGCATAGCGCGTAAAAATCGTCTGTCCTCGGTTGCAACACTCACTACCGAGTTCCAAAATGCCTCTGGAAGCAACGTCAGCACAAGAACTGTTCGTCGGGAGCTTCATGAAATGTATTTCCATGGCAGAGCAGCTGCACACAAGCCTAAGATCACTATGCGCAATGCCAAGTGTCGGCTGGAGTGGTGTAAAGCTCGCCGCCATTGGACTCTGGAGCAGTGAAAATGCGTTCTCTGGAGTGAAGAATCACGCTTCACCATCTGGCAGTCCGACGGACAAATCTGGGTTTGGCGGATGCCAGGAGAACGCTACCTGCCCGAATGCATAGTGCCAACTGTAAAGTTTGGCGGAGGAGGAATAATGGTCTGGGGCTGTTTTTCATGATTCGGGCTAGGCCCCTTTGTTCCAGTGGAGGGAAATGTTAACGCTACAGCATACAATGACATTCTAGACTATTCTGTGCTTCCAACTTTGTGGCAACAGTTTGGGGAAGGCCCTTTCCTGTTTCAGCATGACAATGCCCCCGTGCACAAAGCAAGGTTCACACAGAAATGGTTTGTTGAGATCGGTGTGGAATAACTTGACTGGCCTGCACAGAGCCGTGACCTCAACTACATCGAACACCTTTGGGATGAATTGGAACACCAACTGCGAGCAAGGCCTAATCGTCCAACATCAATGCCCGACCTCACTAATGCTCTTGTGGCTGAATGGAAGCAAGTCCCCGCACCAATGTTCCAACATCTAGTAGAAAGCCTTCCCAGAAGAGTGGAGGCTGTTATAGCAGCAAAGGGGGGACCAACTCCATTTTAATGCCCATGATTTTGGAATGAGATGTTGGACGAGCAGGTGTCCACAAACTTTTGGTCATGTAGTGCACATCTGGTGTAATATAAGCAAGTATTGGCACCATGATTGTCTTACAATTTGTTATTTTATTTAGACGAATATTGCCCACGAAGATTGCCATTTTCCTCTTCACTATAATTGGGGATCCTGCTTTTCTGAAAACAACAGCCTGCAGTACTGTGGTTGCCCTTGAACTTCTTGGCTTCAATGAGAGGGGGCAGTCATTCTCCCATGAGCTGGTTATGCTGGTTGACCGGCATGGTCTAGCTGGTCAAGCTGGTCTGGCCAGCACAGTCTAGCTGGTTATGCTGGTTTACTAGCATGGTCTAGCTGGTTATGCTGATTGATCAGCATGGTCTAGCTGGTTATGATGGTCTGACCAGCATGGTCTAGATTGTTATTCTGGCTGATCAGCATGGTCTAGCTGGTTATGATGGTCTGACCAGCAAGGTCTAGCTGGTTATGCTGTCTGACCAGCATGGTCTAGCTGGTCAAGCTGGATGATCAGCATGGTCTAGCTGGTCAAGCTGGATGATCAGCATGGTCTAGCTGGTCAAGCTGGATGATCAGCATGGTCTAGCTGATCAGCATGGTCTAGCTGGTTATGATGGTCTGATCAGCATGGTCTAGCTGGTTATGATGGTCTGATCAGCGTGGTCTAGCTGGTTATGATGGTCTGATCAGTGTGGTCTAGCTGGTTATGCTGGCTGATCAGCATGGTCTAGCTGGTTATGATGGTCTGATCAGCGTGGTCTAGCTGGTTATGATGGTCTGATCAGCGTGGTCTAGCTGGTTATGATGGCTGACCAGCATGGTCTAGCTCAGGGGTGGGCTGCACAGATTGTACTGATTTGTTTGTCAAAATCAATTTGCACGCCAGAAAAAGGGCAGTTATTTGAAATATTTGGTCGATTATAATTTATACATACTTTCTATCTAGTTTTAGATGTGGCCTGAAATGTTTTCTAAGCCAAGATAATCCAAGTTAAAAGTTCAAATTGTTGGATATCCCCACTTTGGCTGGATTCCAATAGGAATTAAACATAACTTTGCAAGCCAGCATAATGTGACTCGCAGGCCTGATGTGGCCACTGTATTAGGGCAAAACATGTGATATGATATACAGTATGTAGTGTATAGTCTAAATAATTAAGTACTTTGATTCTGGTTTTGCTGGTGACCAGCATACCAGCATCACCAGCATACCAGCATAAGCTGGTCACCAGCATACCAGCATCAAAGAGTCCAAAACATAACAAAGGCTGGTCACCAGGGAAACCAGTACTAGTCACCAGCATATGCTGGTCTATGCTGTTTTTTTCAGCAGGGAAACTTTTCCCCAATAAATGTTGTATTCATTTCATATGCATTCAGTATACCTCAGAGGGGCAGTTGATCTTGGTGCGGTCGTATGTGAAGTTGTTGTAGACCTGCTTCATGCCCACCGGCTCCAACTGTAAAAACAAAACACTACTGCTGTCAGACCACAAACCTACACAAACCTATATGCCTGGATATACACTGACCATAGAGCTCATGTGTTTTGAGTTATGTTTCAGAGTGCTATCTATGTAGCCTGGGCCCAGATCTGTGGATGCTGTCTTGAAAATGAATTTAGGAGTTGGCAAGACAGCACAAACAGATCTGGGACCACACTACTCTATATGTGGCTGTCCTTACCATGTTGTTCCAGAGAGCAATGGCCATCTCAGCATGTGCTCGCTCACTGATGTGGAAACAGTCCACAGAGAAAAAACTCAGGTCAGGCTTCCCAATCTGAGGAGACAAGAGAACGCAGTGTCAGTGTGTGTGTGTGTGTGTGTGTGTGTGTGTGTGTGTGTGTGCTTGAGTGTATATGCATGCATGCATGCGTGCGTGTGTGTGCAGTTAAACCACACTCACCCCAATGAAAGGAACAAATGAGTTTCGTAAGTAGGGTTGAACGACAACAGTGAAGTCCTCTCGCCCATCATAGCGCCCCCCAGAGACCAGTCGCTCAGTCTCGATCTGGACAGAAGCATAGAGAGAGTAGAGAGAACAAAGAGACACTGTTAAGTATTGTAGAATTGTGTTGGATTGATCTGATCACATCGAATCCCTGTATCTTTATCTGTGGAACTTATGTATCTCTGAGTAACACACTTTACATGACACATTGGAACATTGGAAAATATCCTCCAAATCCCAGTTGTTAAGACTGGTAGTTCAGACCCTGTTCTGCACTTACCTGGTATTCCTGGTTGATCCGTCTAACCTCTGTAAGCTCAGGAGAATTATCTTCAGGGTTCAAAAAGCAGGGGCAAGCTTTCCTGTGCAAAACAAAGACACGTGAGAGGAAACATTCTGAATATACACATTCTACAGACATAAGATGCAATGGGTGTAGCTGCTGTCTTTGTGGGGAAATGTGGAGGTTCCATACAAACCTCTGTATGAGGTTGCAGAACAGATCATTCTTCCTGACACTCCTCAATGGATTCATCTCCAGAACCTCGATAACATTGACCATTACCCTCGGTACCTTAGCAAGAGAGATGAAAGGAGAGAGAAAAGAGGGGTGAAAGATGGCATGATATTGAGCTTTAGATCTTTAGATTTAGCAATTTATCCTTGTTGAGTAAGTACAGGCTTTCACCTATAATAGATCTCCATTACCAAGCTTTCCATCACTTACCTCTTTGTACAGCATGTCCAGGCTCAACATCAGATTCTCACTGTAGTTCTTGGGTGTAAGGTTGTTCTGTGTAAAGAGGAGTATAAATAACACTAATTTTAACACTATCACAGTTCCCCAATGTGCAACAAAGTTATTACGATTGTAATACTTGTGTGTGTCTTTTGTTAGACTTTAGGAGAAGAACACATACCTGGTCCATGCAATAATCACACAGATCCCTGGAGCCAACGAATAAGGTCACTAGCTTCCAATCCTGTTCAAAATTCACCTTCTGTGTGGAAGACGAAGGGATACAGTGAGAAGAGAGAGAAATAGCTATATATGATCATACACTTATTTAATACAACAATACGTAATTATGCTTACTAATTGAGTCCAGTATAACTATTCAACACATTGAAGAGGCCGCGTCCCAAATGGCACCCTATTCTCTATGTGGGGCACTACTTTTGACCAGGGCCCATAGAGCTCTGGTCAAAAGTAGAGCACTATGTATGGAATAGGTGCCAATGGGACATAGACCAGAGTCTCACCTTGTCATCTTTCATGGCCTTGATGAGAGCTTGGACTTGGGCTGGGATCTCACTACAAGAGACAAAGAGACATTGTTAAAATGTAGTGTTTATTATGCCTTTATTCAAATGAGAAGAAAAGACAGGAAAAACTGAGGGGGAGGTGATAGACTAGCAGCCAGAGCTGCTGGAAATGAAGGATGACACAAAAAAAGAGGATGGGAAATAGATTGACAGCAAAATGAGGACAGTGAGTGGACGAGGGAACAGAGAGGTCTAAACTTAGCTCTCTACTCACAAGGCCTTGGCTCCAGGCACCGCCATGTTGAAGCCATTATTCTGCAGCCAGCCCTGACCCTTGGAGAAGCCCTGGAGGGAAGGGTTGAATTTCTTCAGGATGTCTGAGAGAGAAAGAGAGATTGGAAATACGTATTGGCTCATTCTGATAAAGCACACAGATATTTCAGTATCAAGTGGTCCTTTTTAGCTACACTACAGAGAGGGTGCTGGATGAAGAATGTTTCCTCTTTACAAGGAGGCTGCACTCCAAAGGAATGTCATGATATCATATGTTGAGACTGCCATCTTGTGGATGTATATGAAAATGCTGAAACGCCACAAGATCATGGCAGGGTTGATGTCATGTCTTGTGCACTGCATATTCATTGAAGTCTTTCTCCAAAGATGTTACAGAATTAGTCTTATGTGAAATCATCAATGTGGGGAAGCTAGTGTGAAAATACAGTGTACCAAGCTGCTAATTACTTCACACCGGAAGAAGTTAAGCTACACTAAAGCTACCATTAAGAAACATATAGGTTACTTACCTAAAGTTACTTTTAAACAGTAGCTCACTACATCCAAACTGCTTCGTAAAAAATTATCATACCTAAATCTGAAATGTCAATGACTACAAATTGCAAGAACAGATCACTCTGGTGTCAGATGTTAACAGAATGTGTAATTTAGCCTATTAAACACAAAAACTATGTTTCAAGTGAGAATTAGGAAGGTATGATGCTGAAAAAGAAAGGAAATTCTTGCCTACTTTACACATTTTATTTTTGCAAAACAAGTAGTGTGTAGTTCCAGTAGTTAGCTACACCACTACATGGCAAAAAAAGTAATTCAATACTGAAAACACAACCAACAATTTAAAATAGTTCAACTACCACCAAGCTACAGCAAAATGTAATTAAATTACTAGTGTGTAGTTCACTACTCCCAAACACTGGAAATCATGGCTCATTTGGCTCATTTTAGTGGACAGTTAAAGCAAAATTCCATCCAAAAACTTTTGGTATTTGTTTCATTAGTCCATTGTTGACATTTCAAAATACAGAAATCATCTCCGTATTATGCATTTTGCATCATATGACGCTGAGTTTTGCAGCATAGTTTTTGGGTGGTTTTCCTTTAAGATGAGCCAATAGGATCAGTGACAAGAGGAAATAGTGACTCACTTGGTAGTGTGGTGACAGTGTCCAAGGTCTGATCTCCTCCGATACTGCAGAAATACACACACATTTAGTCAATTTCACTGTTGACAAGTGTTAAAAAGCAGTATGGCAGTGTCAATGTGCTCTGCAAGTGGTCCATAACGTGTATGCTGTGTAGTTGGACTATTTTTCTGCATGATTCATTACAGTAGGTACCTCCATGACACTCCTTTATACTCTGTGTTGAGCTGCAACACGTTCTTTGCCTTGGCTCCAACTGCTGCCTGCAAACGGATGACAACAAAGGCACATTAACAACCCACCATGTAACGAATATACTGTATCCTCTCAGCACAAAGGATAATATAAAAGTCAGACACAAGCATGTACTGCTGGTACATCAGTATGAATATGAATACACTTGACTTTGACAAACACTTCGAACATCAATGGGGCATCGCTAATGTCAAACGACTCCCCAATAACAAATGATTAGATGGTTCATATCAGAGTTTTTTCTGGATCAAAAATGGGCTTAGGTAGTGGGCGTGGCATAGGGCGTGGCAGAGGGTATGTCAATGAGCGCGGTCAGACATCGGCTCGGCTACATTTTAGAGAAAATGTTAGAGGCCCCCATCTTGGCGCTGTAGAGACATTTTTGCATTTCTAAGCCAATGTCCTGCAATTGTACACATTTTGCCATGGCTAATGCTGTGTTATTTTGCTCAAACATAATAACAAAATTAATACTGCTAAATTAATTGTTTTCTGAATGTTTTATTCTCCCTGACTGTCTAGCTGTTATTTTGGTGATTGTTAGTTCTCAAAGATGATATTATAAAAAAATACACAGGTCCATTATCTTTTCGACATACTATATATCTGGTTTTAGTCATTTAAGTTTACACTTAAAGTGTTTTTCCAATCCCGAAGATTTATTAACCCAAAAATTACACGTAAAACGTTTTTCCATCCCTAAAATTCATTTCCCCCAAATTACACTTAAAGCAGTTTTTCTTTTCACTGTTTGGATTTAGGCGACCCAAAAAAAACTTTTAGGCAGCTCGCCCAAGGATTACAATTGCATATGTCAGCAAATTTGCTATTAGCACATTCAGATTGTTTTGTTTTACAAGCACACATGCATGCACGGGCATGCACACACACACAAGCGCGCGCGCACGCACACACACATACACACACACACACACACACACACACACACACACACAAACACCAACATAACACACACAAACACCAACATAACACACACCAACATAAACACTCTCTTACAGTGTTTGAGTCTCCCAGTGCTGCCACCACCTTGATGTCTCCTGGTCGTAGCTTATGAACTGGGGACAGAGGAACAGATTGAAACATAAACACAAATACACCAGCATCTCTTTACTTTCCATAGTCCATAATGTTAAAACAAAGTCATCATACACTGTTGGGTTTCGACACCTATCTCAGACACGTTGTGTGATTTGTCTGGTGAGGGGGTTGGACAAATGTCATGCAACCAGGTCATTGGCCTTCCCTCAGTCATGCACTTCCTCTTATGAAACCTTGACCTCTTACTACATTTCTCTCACTCTCACCTGATGTAGGCACAGAGGTGGATGGAGTAAAATTCCCACAAGAGAAGTCACTTCCCCAGTTCTGGGAGAGAAGACACAACATATTGACTCATGAAAGGGAGACAGTATTGTGAAATATTTAATACCTAAATTAATTATGAACGCATTGCTGTAATAACAGTTATCATTACTCCTCTATCACTTAAAAATGTTGACTTGGTCCACCTTATCTACACATGTAAATTTTTTACTGGAAGGCACAGAGATTTAAACCTGGAATGGTGGCCTACCGTAATTGGTGGCGGTGTTGGGGTGGGTTCCTCATAGGTGTAATTGCTGTTGACATAGGTACGCACAAATGGTGAGGTCTTGGGGGAAGACAGAGACACAGTTGTATCAGCTAAACATATAGCACTATCAACACTTTATATTCATGAATTGACATGTTATAATTGCAGACTTTTCTGTAAAACTCCACAAGAGTGACCAGAATATCTCAGTAAATGCTATGAAAGAAAGTGAAGACAACACAGTAGTTCTATAGTTCCGACCATTGTAAACATATTGTCATAATACTGTACCTTAGAGGGGCATTTCACAGGGATAACATCATTAAAGTCCTGTTGGGTAGTTTTCTTGCCCAGAGGCTCCAGCTAGTGGAACACAAAAGCAACAAGAATGATTCAGCAACATGTCAGAGAATTGAAAAGAACTGGGATGATTGTATTATATCTTGGATTTCAACTCAAGGTGTTGTTTGTGTCTCAATTTTGTGAGTCTTCCTTTTTGTCCCTCAGTGCAACAGTGTTGTGTTTTGGGTGGTGACAGTCAGAGCCATATACTGTATATGTTATGACATGTCACATGTATTGTCACATGTGTTTATGAACTATCAGGGGCGGCAGGTAGCTTAGTGGGTAAGAGCGTTGTGCCAGTAACCGAAAGGTCGCTGGTTCTAATCCCCGAGCCGACTAGGTGAAAAATCTGTCGATGTGCCCTTAAGCAAGGCACTAAACCCTAATTGCTCCTGTAAGTCGCTCTGGATAAGAGCGTCTGCTAAATGACTAAAATGTAAAAAAAAAAAAAGTAAATTATAACATATAGATGGATATATGTGAGGCGGCCGAGAACCCGTTGGATGTCGCGGCTGACTCATTGTTAGGAAAAAGCCAAAATGCAACGAAAATCCGTTTTGGGGAAAATTTAGATTTAGTCTGTTTTGGATACTTTAAACCTTTACTTTATTGTAATGTAAAAATATTGCATGATTACTTAAGGAAAATAGATCATTTTAAAGTTTTTTTACATTAGCTTGCATTCCCAATGTGAAAACGCTAGCTCAAACTTCCCTGATCTGAGTGTCGCAGCTGACTTGGCCCATTCAAGACAACATGCTATAGATAAATTAAATCAGGTTGGTTTAGACACAGAATAACTAGCTAGATAGTTAGTAATGTAGTAGTATAAAGTTGGCATTTACAATCAACAATGTAGTTATGAATGCAAATGGGTCGGATTTTCATTTTGTCTACGTAGCTATGCGCCGGAGCTAATCATTCACGTTCATAAAAGAGGTTCAGACTTTCTTTCAGTGTTGCTTGATCAGTGGGTAGGCCTATTAGCTGGCCAAAATGTCATGAAAAGTGATTAAAACATATTAAAAGTATTGCAGTAATTTCAGCAGTTATTTAGATTTTAGGTAGCAAAGCAATCAATATCCTATCCTAAACTTTTTGGAAGCAAGAGGCATATTATTATTATTATTATTATTCTTTGTGTGGCTTTCCGGCAGACTAGATGCTATGTTGCGTATTGCTGCCTTTCATAGTTTTGAAAGTGCTTTGCACATTTGTTAAAAATGAAAGGGAAAAGGGAAATGGGGAAAAAAGGAAATTGCACTGCCATTCGGGAAAGTATTCAGACCTCTTGACTTTTTCCACATTTTGTTACATTACAGCCTTATTCTAAAATGGATTCAATAAAAAATTTTCCTCATCAATCTACACACAATACCCCATAATGACAAAGCGAAAACAGGTTTTTAGAAATTGTTGCTAATATAAAAAAACAACAACTGAAATACCATACTTACATAAGTATTCAGATCCTTTGCTATGAGACTTGAAATTGAGCTTAGGTGCATCCTGTTTCCATTGATCATCCTTGAGATGTTTCTACAACTTGATTGGAGTCCACCTGTGGTAAATTAAATTTATTGGACAGGATTTGGAAAGGCACACACCTGTCTAAGATCCCACAGTTGACAGTGCATGTCAGAGCAAAAACCAAGCAATGAGGTCGAAGGAATTGTCCGTAGAGCTCCGAGACAGGATTGTGTCGAGGCACAGATCTGGGGAAGGGAACCAAAACATTTCTGCAGCATTGAAAGTCCCCAAGAACACAGTGGCCTCAATCATTCTTAAATGGAAGAAGTTTGGAACCATCAAGACTCTTCCTAGAGCTGGCTACCCGGACAAACTGAGCAATCGGGGAAAAATTTAAAAGAAGGGCCTTGGTCAGGGAGGTGACTAAGAACCCAACGATCACTCTGACAGAGATCCAGAGTTCCTCTGTGGAGATGGGAGAACCTTCCAGAAGGACAACCATCTCTACATCAGAGGGATCCTTGATGAAAACCTGCTCCAGAGCGCTCAGGACGTCCGACTGGGGCGAAGGTTCATCTTCCAACAGGACAACAACCCTAAGCACACAGCCAAGACAATGCAGGAGTGGCTTCGGGACAAGTCTCTGAATGTCCTTGAGTGGCCCAGCCAGAGCCCGGACTTGAACCCGATCGAACATCTCTGGAGAGACCTGAAAATAGCTGTGCAGCGACGTTACCCATCTAACCTGACAGAGCTTGAGAGGATCTGCAGAGAAGAATGGGAGAAACTCCCCAAATACATGTGCGCCAAGCTTGTAGCGTCATACCCAAGAAGACTCGAGGCTGTAATTACTGCCAAATGTCCTTCAACAAAGTACTGAGTAAAGGGTCTGAATACTTTTGTAAATGTGATTATTCAGTTGTTGTTTTTTTATACATTTGCTAAAATTTCTAAAAACTTGCTTTGTCATTATGGGGTATTGTGTCTAGATTGATGAGGAATAATAAAATAAAATAAATTAATTCATTTTAGAATACGGCTGTAACTTAACAAAATGAAGAAAAAGTCAAGGGGTCTGAATACTTTCCGAATGCACTGTATATATACACCACTATCCCCAACAACCCACCACCCCTTCCCACTACTTTGTCCCCAACAGATCCTACACCAGGCCGTCGCTGGAACCCCTTCTCTCAAATCCCCTTGTAGTTCTTCGGTATTAAAATCTCTGATACCCAAAAATGTATCTGCTGCTGCTACTACCAATTCAATCTTCTGGGATTTCCTTTCCATCTTGCGGCACAATTAATGACCATTCAATAAACACTAAGAAGCCAACCTTACTAAAGCACAAGCTGTTCGGGTCACTCTGTTCTGGCCTACTACTCACTGAGATCCTCTCAGGCTCCCTCACCTTTTGCCCACCATCCTCTACTTTCCTCACTGCCTCAGCATATGACACTTTCTGCACTGCTTCAAAGTGTCTCACTCACACAGGACATTTCTGATCCCCAGCAACATGGCCACCCCACAATTGAAACACTTTTTCCACCAAAACTACACACTCGTTTGTCCCATGCCCTCCTGCACACTTATCACACCTCAGAATCTCCCCCCTACATACTGCTGCAACATGACCATAAACTTGGCACCTGAAACACCGTAGTGGGTTCGGAACAAAAGCTCTCTGGATAACTTATATACAGTACCCTAGCATGACTTTATCTGGCAAACACTCTGCATCAAAACTCAGAAGGACAGACAGGGTCTCCTCAGTGTCGCGCTTGCCACCGGGTCTGTGTCGCACTTCAGTTTATCCACCTTAACACTCAACCCCACCCCAGTTTTCACTCCTTTCAGCGGCGCTCTGCTCCGGAGAGCAAAGCAGGACAATGCTTTCGTCTCGAGTCTCGAAACCCTCTCCCTCTGGATAATTTGACTGAATTGACAGAACCCAACTCCTTCTTCACCCAGCCTGATCCCACAAACGGATCGGACAAAAGGCATGGGTACACTTTCTCCACTAATCGTACTCCCACTGGGCCAGAGTCATCTCAGGCATTTTCCTGATCATTGGGGTGAGGCTCGGAAGCCTTCACTTCACCTCATTCTTTCTCCTCACTTTTGTCAGGATCAATTTCAAGTTCACTATCCATCGACTGCTCAGGGTCTGAGGTGAGAGAGCATCTTCAACGAGGAGCAAGCAGGTATGTTCAGATAGCTAGCTAGATAGCTATCTAGTTATGTACACAATGCATTAGCTAGAATTTATAAAATATCAGGCCATCACTACCTCCATGTACTTTGCATTTGTTCAAGGTAGACTATAGCCAGTGTTGTTGGAGTGACAGTACTCTTGAAGACAAGTAGGACGACAAGATGGTATAGCTAACGTTAGCTGAATTGTTTCACTGACTATTTCACCAGCCATTGAGAGAGAGAGAGAGAGATAATGGACACACAAAGGTTTGAATAGGAATAGAGCCCCTTCTTTGTGTGTGTGTGTGTGTGTTTTATAAACATTTGGGTCTCCATGACTATTTACTTTATTGTGGACTCAAATAAATAAGACTGATAAAGCACCGAAACATGTTTTTTTCCCTCAGGGTAAGATGGTGAAAGGAATGGGCAGGCACATGGATCTGGTGCCCAGCACTGGATCCAAGGTGGTCGTCACCATTTACATTTTTTGTCATTTAGCAGACGCTCTTATCCAGAGCGACTTACAGTTAGTGAGTGCATACATTATTATTTTTTTATTTTTCATACTGGCCCCCCGTGGGAATCGAACCCACAACCCTGGCGTTGCAAACGCCATGCTCTACCTACTGAGCTACATCCCTGCCGGCCATTCCCTCCCCTACCCTGGATGACGCTGGGCCAATTGTGCGCCGCCCCATGGGTCTCCTGGTCGCGGCCGGCTACGACAGAGACTGGATTCGAACCAAGATCTCTAGTGGCACAGCTAGCACTGCGATGCAGTGCCTTAGACCACTGCGCCACTCGGGAGGACTCAGCTAAGGTAAGAATGATGACCTAGTAGTTTGTGTGTTAGAGATCTCTTTGTGTTTGTTTGTCAGAGAGAGATTCAAATTCATTAATATCAATATGAATGAAATCCTTCTTGCCCACTGCCATCCAGGCCTTCAACAACACCTGGTCGCAACACACAGCACTTTATTTGCTTTTGCACACTAGTACTGTACTATTTTACTTGCCTCTCTACAGTTATATTGATGCTTTGTTTGACTGTCTTGTAGTGTTGTGAGTATTTGTATTGTTTTTACATTGTCGGTATGACAAACTCATTTCATCTTATCTCTCAGCAGATGAGATTGTTCCTGCTGGCCAATTATTACCATTATTTTTTGCCATATTTCATGCCATCCAGTGTTGTATATAATCAAATCAAGGATTTGTTGTTGGATTTTTTGTTGACGGTTCATAATCGCACTGAAATGTACATTATTTTGTATCATTTTATTATACTGTATATGTATCTATTATTTACAGTATAATAATTAATTCTAGTAATAATCATTGAATGCAAACAATACCAGCAGTTGCTGTTTTAAAAATAATGAATATAGTGACACTCTCTTTTGAAACAATCAAGTTGAGTGTTGGTGTTTTTCTCTCATGCCTCTCAATGGAGTTAGAAAAAAACTTAACAGAGTCTTTGAATGTTATTTTCTCCGTTTTTAGGTTTTGGCTGAAGTCAACTTTAAAAACTCATAACTCCGGTATTGATAAAGATATCTAAATGATTTTTAAAAATATCTGGATTTGGGACAGTTTGTAGTTTTCAGAACTTCAAAACAAGTTCAAAATTTGACGATGTGAAGGGTTTGCCTAGGTTGACACACATATTATGTGTTACACTCTTAGAAAAAAACATTTAAAGAACCCCTTTGGTTCCAGGTAGAACCCTTTTGGATTCCATGTAAAACCCTTTCCACAGAGGGTTCTACATGGAACCCAAAAGAGTTCTAGCTGGAACCAAAAATGGTTCTACCTTGGGACAGCCACAGAACCCTTTTAGAACCCTTTTTTCTAAGAGTCTATTGGGTCTCACCATGTTGTTCCAGAGACCACGAGCCATCCGAGTCTGGGCCTTCTGACTGAGATGGAAGCAGTCAGGACTGAAGTAAGTGCGGTCTGGACGTCCATCCTATGTGTCAGATAGAGAGTGTCAATGTGTGTTTGTGTGTGTGTGAAAGACAAAGTGGAGATAAAATATACTAAGTAAAAAGGTGTGCAGGTAAGTTTAGAAACCCAATAGTTTTTTTTGTTTTTTTTTTGCTATATACAGTTGATGTCGGAAGTTTACAAACACCTTAGACAAATACATTTAAACTCAGTTTTTCCACAATTCCTGACTTTTAATCCTAGTAGAAATTCCCTGTCTTAGATCAGTTAGGATCACCACTTTATTTAAAAAATGTGAAATGTCAGAATAATAGTAGAGAGAATGATTTATTTCAGCTTTTATTTCTTTCATTACATTCCCAGTGGATCAGACGTTTACATACACACAGTTAGTATTTGGTAGCATTGCCTTTAAATTGTTTAACTTGGGTCAAATGTTTCGGGTAGCCTTCCACAAGCTTCATTGATTATCTATCACTTTTTGGAGAAATGTCCTCTGGTCTGATGAAACAAAAATAGAACTGTTTGGCCATAATGACCATCGTTATGTTTGGAGGAAAAAGGGGGTGCTTGCAAGCCGAAGAACACCATCCCAACCGTGAAGTACGGGGGTGGCAGCATCATGCTGTGGGGGTGATTTGCTGCAGGAGGGACTGGTGCACTTCACAAAATAGATGGCATCATGAGGAGGGAAAATTATGTGGATCTATTGAAGCAACATCTCAAGACATCAGTCAGGAAGTTAAAGCTTGGTCGCAAATGGACAATGACCCCAAGCATACTTCCAAAGTTGTGGCAAAATGGCTTAAGGACAACAAAATCAAGGTATTGTAAGTGGTGACCCTAACTGACCTAAAACAGGGAATTTTTACTTGGATTAAATGTCAGGAATTGTGAAAAACTGAGTTTAAATGTATTTGGCTAAGGTGTATGTAAACTTCCGACTTCAACTGTACATACACTACCGGTCAAATGTTTTAGAACACCTACTCATTCAAGGGTTTTTCTTTAATTTTACTATTTTCTACATTGTAGAATAATAGTGAAGACATCAAAACTATGAAATAACACATATGGAATCATGTAGTAACCAAAAAAGTGTTAAACAAATCAAAATATATTTTATATTTGAGATTCTTCAAATAGCCTCCTTTTGCCTTGATGACAGCTTTGCACACTCTTGGCATTCTCTCAACCAGCTTCATGAGGTAGTCACCTGGAATGCATTTCAATGAACAGGTGTGCCTTCTTAAAAGTTAATTTGTGGAATTTCTTTCCTTCTTAATGCGTTTGAGCCAATCAGTTGTGTTGTGACAAGGTAAAGGGGGGTATACAGAAGATAGCCCTAGTTGGTAAAAGACCAAGTCCATATTATGGCAAGAACAGCTCAAATAAGCAAAGAGAAACGACAGTCCATCATTACTTTAAGACATGAAAGTCAGTCAATACGGAAACACACTTTGAAACTTTCTTCAAGTGAAGTCGCAAAAACCATCAAGCGCTATGATGAAACTGTCTCTCATGAGGACCCCCACAGGAATGGAAGACCCAGAGTTACCTCTGCTGCAGAGGATACGTTCATTTGAGTTACCAGCCTCAGAAATTGCAGCCCAAATAAATGCTTCACAGAGTTCAAGTAACAGACACATCTCAACATCAACTGTTGGAGGAGACTGTGTGAATCAGGCCTTCATGGTCGAATTGCTGCAAAGGAACCACTACTAAAGGACAACAATAATAAGAAGAGACTTGCTTGGGCCAAGAAACACAAGCAATGGACATTAGACCGGTGTAAATCTGTCCTTTGGTCTGGAGTCCAAATTGTAGATTTTTGGTTCCAACCGCCGTGTCTTTGTGAGAAGACGCGGTGTGGGTGAACGGATGATCTCCGCATGTGTATTTCCCACTGTAAAGCATGGAGGAGGAGGTGTTATGGTGTGGGGGTGCTTTGCTGGTGACACTTTCTGTGATTTATTTAGATTCAAGGCACACTTAACCAGCATGGCTACCACAGCATTCTGCAGTGATACGCCATCCCATCTGGTTTGGGCTTAGTGGGACTATCATTTGTTTTTCAACAGGACAATGACCCAACACACCTCCAGGCTGTGTAAGGGCTATTTTACCAAGAAGGAGATTGATGAAGTGCTGCATCAGATGACATGGCCTCCACAATCCCCCGACCTCAACTAAATTGAGATGGTTTGGGATAAGTCGGACCGCAGAGTGAAGGAAAAGTAGCCAACAAGTGCTCAGCATATGTGGGAACTCCTTCAAGACTGTTGGAAAAGCATTCCAAGTGAAGCTGCTTGAGAGAATTCCAAGAGTGTGCAAAGCTGACATCAAGGCAAAGGGTGGCTATTTGAAGAATCTCAAATATAAAATATATTTGGATTTGTTTAACACTTTTTTGGTACTACATGATTCCATATGTGTTATTTCATAGTTTTGATGTATTCACTATTATTCTACAATGTTGAAAATAGTAAAGATAAAGAAAAACCCTTGAATGAGTAGGTGTTCTAAAACTTTTGACCGGTAGTGTATATAAAAAACAATATATATATATATATATATATATATATATATATATATATATATATATATATATATATGTATGTATATATATATATATATATATATATATATATATATAGACACAACAGATTGTTCAATCAATGAAACAATGCATAGTAATTACAGTTGGACATGATCAACTCAGTGTGTGTGTGTGTGTGTGTGTGTGTGTGTGTGTGTGTGTGTGTGTGTGTGTGTGTGTGTGTGTGTGTGCGTGTGTGTGCATTTGTGCATTTGAGTGTGTGTAGCCATGAAACGGCATTGGAATTTTCACACACATTGATCAGTCATACAATTGTTGTTTTAGAGAACAAGTGAGTGACAATGCAGTGTGCCTAACCTCCTTCACTGGAATTATGATGTCTCGTAGGAAAGGCTGCAGGACCACCGTGAAGTTGTTATGGGTGTCGTACCGTCCTGACTCAACAAGCTCATGCAGTCCACGCTGAAAGAGGTAGAGTTCGTTTTTGTTATTGGTAATCAATGAGCAACCACCCTCTATGGTATTTACCATAGAGTCAAGTATAATATTGTGATCTCACTGCACTGCAGAATTAGTCTTTGCCATACCTGATAATCTCTGTTCAGATCATTGAGTTTCCGAAGTGTTACAGAGCCCCCCGTAGGTGAGATGACACAGGGACACAGAATACTGAAGGAGAGACACAAGATCAGGTGTTACTGATCTAGACTTCAGAGATCCGTTGGTACATTGCCCTACATAATGGCAAATATATGAAAGTGGTGGCTTGATGAGGAGGATTACAGATTTTTGTATTTATTATTTTTAACCTTTATTTAACTAGGCAAGTCAGTTAAGAATAAATTCTTATTTACAATGACGGCCTACCCCAGCCAAACCCAGACGACGCTGGGCAAATTGTGCACCGCCCTATGGTTCTCCCAATAACGGCCGGATTGTGATACAGCCTGGAATCGAACCAGGGTCTGTAGTGATGCCTCTGTTACTGAGATGCAGTGCCTAAGACTGCTGCGCCACTCGGGAGCCCACAGATAGGGTCCATCCCGATTCAAAGTGTGCACTTGCACACTCCCTGTCATGGATTATACAATGGTGATGCTCCATCTGCAGCCAGGGACTCTTACCTGGCAAGCCAGGTAGGGCACTTGAGATCGGCATTCATTTCTGAGTGCATCTGTCTCAGGATGGGGATGTACAGAGGCTCCACCAGGTTGACCAGGGCCCTCGGCACCTGAGAGAGAGAGAGAGACAGAGAGAGAGAAAGAAAGAAAGAAAGAAAGAAAGAAAGAAAGAAAGAAAGAAAGAAAGAAAGAAAGAAAGAAAGAAAGAAAGAAAGAAAGAAAGAAAGAAAGAAAGAAAGAAAGAAAGAAAGAAAGAAAGAAAGAAAGAAAGAAAGAAAGAAAGAAAGAAAGAAAGTGTTTGTGTTAAACAACAAGTAATTGAAACACAGGAAAGCATGTGCTAGCTGATCAGATTTGTAAATGTAAAAATGTGGAAAAAACTGTGACAAATCTACAGCTCTGACCTGTTTATGAAGGTAATCCAGAGACTCACGAATGTGGTGCACGTAGTTGTCAGTGGAGTAAAACAGCTGTGGGACAATGAAAGGTAGTGACAGTCAGAGCAATGGAACATGCACATCCGGTAAAGTATCACTGCAGACAGAGTTCTTAGAGAAGGTCACGATACAGAATGGTATTGTATTGTATCTTAATGTATTGTATCTTATCATATAGTATTGGTACTCACAGAGTTGTAGCAGTACTCACACATGTCATTGCCTCCAATGAACAAAGTGATAACTTTCCAGTCTTCTTGGAAATTAACGCGCTGTGTAAGAGGACAGAGGGTGAGAACATGTTCACATATAAGCTTGTGTATTATATCAATCTATGTGTGGTAGACAAACAGAAGTAGATTCAAATATAATTCAGGATAGTCTTTTACCGAGTCATTCTTCATCCTGGCCACCAGTGCTCGCACTTGGTCTGGTATGTCCCTTAAAAACAAACACAGACAATCCAACCTCACTATTCAGCAACAGTATAAAGACTACAAAACATATTCAGTAAAACATAGGCAGTCAGAGAGGAAGGTATGTCTGGATAGAAGAGTATCATATGGACTGGTGATGAGACTCACTTGGCTTTTTCTCCGGCCACAGCCTGGTTGAGGAAGGCCTGAGGGGTGTGCTCTTTGCCTTTGGCCACTGAGTAGCCAGTCAGGAAGGGGTTAAACTCACGCAGGATATCTGAGCAGCAACACAAAAGACAAAGACATATCAGTCAAACCTGAACACATTGATAATGATACACATAGAATAACTGTATTTGTCTTACTGTACTGAATGTAAATGTGTGAATGTGTATTCCAGCCGTTTGGCAACATTTTGTCTACACAAGTAGCCTGATAGCTAAGACAAGATGACAGCAACAGGAAGGTGACTCACTGGGAAGAGTGGTGACAGTGGTGAGGTTCTCGTCTCCACCGATACTGAGAAACACAAAGACAGAATATAGACTATTTAGAAATGTAACTAAATAGATTAGTGTTCACAGGAAGGCCAAAAAGATCATCAAGGACATCAACCACCCGAGCCACTGCCTGTTCACCCCGTTATCATCCAGAAGGCGAGGTCTGTACAGGTGCATCAAAGCTGGGACCGAGAGAATGAAAAACAGCTTCTATCTCAAGGCCATCAGACTGTTAAATAGCCATCACTAGCACATTAGAGGCTGCTGCTGCCTATTGAAATCACTGGCCACTTTAAGAAATTGAACACTAGTCACTTTAATAATGTTTATATATCTTGCACTACTCATCTCATATGTATATACTGCATTCTATTCTATAATATTCTACTGTATCTTAGTCCATGCTGCTCTGTCGTTGCTTGTCCATATATGTATATATTCTTAACTCCCATTCCTTACTAGTTTTGTGTGTTTTAGGTATATGTTGTGAAATTGTTAGATATTACTTGTTAGATATTACTGCACTGTCGGAGCTAGAAGCACAAGCATTTCGCTACACCCGCTATAACATTTGCTAAACACGTGTATGTAACAAATATAATTTGATTTGATTTGATTTGACCTCTACCTCCAGGTAACCCACAGCACAGGAAGATGAACTGATATTGACACTGCACTTTGTACTGCTGTGTTATTGCAGGAGTGATAAGGACCCACCTCCATGATAACCCCCTGTACTGTGTCTGGACATCCAGTAGGTTGTTTACGCTGGATCCCGATCCGACACCGTTGCCCGCCTGCCGGTTGGTCAAAGAGAGTGTTATAGAGATAGCAATATTATGAGTGTAATAATACAGGTAGTAATAGCATATGATTAGTAACAGCCCTGCAACTGGGTAATGTAGATTCATTCACTAATGTACTAGCTACTACAGTACAGATAAAAGGTAAACAAGGAACAGTTGACTTACTGTCAGAGAGTCTCCCACTGCTGCTATTACTTTAATATCGCCAGGCCGGAGAGCGTGAACTGTGAACGCATAGAAGATGAATCAGGTGATGAGAATTATGTAAGGCAAACTTTATCCAAGTAGCCCAATCAGAAACCTGTTGACATCTTTCTGTCTGTTTTCTAAAAGTTTTACGTTCCATAATACAGTAAGTCAGGGTTCCCAAACCTTTTTGGTCCACGACCCCATTTTGATCAAAACATTATTTGCCAATTTTTTATTGGGGCTATAACAGTCTATTACGAATCAGTCTGACAGTACTTTTGAAAGTATTTCAATCTGAAGGAAGTATGGTTTGAAGTGACTGTAATGCATCAGAAAGGTGAATTTGCTTTATGATCTTCTGTGTAGAAAATGACTTTATCATGGATGATGTTCTGTTACCACCAGTCTGATTTAGTGCCTATCCACTCTGTTCTAATGAGTCAATTGGGCATTGTAGAGGGAAACAGAAGTCTTATCTGACATTGAAGAGTTATCTTTAAGTGAAGGGTTCATAATATTGTGTAACTTAAACGGTTCAAAGGATAGCGCCACATTTGCAAGAAGAAAACAGAAACCGCTTTGTTTATTACATTGCATCTAGCGGCTACCGGAGGTTACTGACATAACCCCGGTTCTATGAACCAAGCTTGAAGCTTTTTTGAGTTTCTCTCACGACCCCATTTTCAAATTAGACGACCCCACGTGGGGTCGTGACCCCTAGTTTGGGAAACGCTGCAGTAAGTACAGGGTTATACAAGACCAGGGAATACTGGCTCTATTTCAACAAATAAGCTGTATACTGTATATTGTATATAGCGAGGATTCCTCTCACCTGAGGTGGGTGGGGAGTTGGAAGGGCTACGGTCCTCGCAGGGCATATGAGTCCCCATGATCTGATGACAAGACACGCAGAGCACATCCAGCGTAATTACCATGTATAATGTGTACGTGGAGACCACTATGTGCAGGGCACTAATAGTCCTACAGTATCAGGCCTTATCAACATGACAACAATAACTCACAGGGTCGAGAAGAGGAGAGGGCTCACTGGTATGATCTGAAGGAGAGTTACTCTCTGTTCTCAGGAAAGGCCGGTCCTATGGGAGAGAGGGGGATAAGAGAGAGAGAGAGAGAGAGACAAGACAGGGGGAGAAAGAGCGAGAGGGAGAGAGGGGGGGGGGAGAGAGAGAGAGAGTGAGGGGGGGAAGAGAGAGAGAGAGAGAGTGAGAAAGTGAGAGAATGAGAGAGAGAGAGAGAGAGAGAGAGAGCGAGAGAGAGAGAACGAGAGAGAGAGAGAGAGAGAGGTCTGGTTTGTGTTAGAGGCAGCACTCTCTCACCTCACTGGGGCATGGCACATAGATAATCATGTTATTTTCCTCCATGTTCTGCTGGGCTATGGTGGGCTGCAGCTGAAAAACAGAAGAAAAAAAAACAGAGTCAATTCTCCTTTGTTTGACTTGACTGAACTGAGAGTCGAGACAATGCCACAGAGTGTTAGCAGCATGTGTAGTATTTGGTGTGACTCACCAAGTTGGCCCACATCTGTACTGCCAGTTTGTCTGTGTGTAGTTCACCCGCTCTGGGGGCAGCGCTCTGCACAAAGATTAACATTTGTGTTACACACACTGACACACGTATGCGTGTACCGGTATGCAAGTGTACGCACACACACACACCATAACAACTCAACTCTGCATCACACAATAAGAGAGGCACATTAGCACATTAATGTATAAAAGTTGTAGGGAGGGTTTAATGGCTTCTCACTCACAATAACAGAGGCGGGGTTTGCTGTGATGAAGGGGGCATCCTGCAGTAGGACGGTGAAGTCATCTCTGTTGCTGTACCACTGCTTCTCCACCAGGTGTCGATCAAGGGACTCCTATTGACCACCATGAATAATAGTTAGTAAAATAAACTATATATAATACACCTATTTAACTGAAATGTTGGTCCAATAAATCCACAGCAAGGAGAGATGAGTGTGCAACTTTCATTTTAACTTGTATAATCCCCTGTACTACAGCCCCTTCCGTCCATATCTCCTGTAGACCTACTGTATGTTGTTTATCGTATTTTATGTCCCATAAGGGAAAACAGACAATAACATGCAATCTAATCTTATTTGATCTTATTTGTATAGTAGAAGCAATGTAAACAACACATAGATGTTGGGGATATAGGGGAGATGACATAGATGTAAGACATTGCACCTGCAGGACTTGTGTGAGGATGGCCCTCAGTAGTCTGAACTCCCCTTCATGTTCTTCCTCCATACATTGACACATCCTGTCAATAGACATACAAGCAATCACATGTCTACCACAAACTATAGATTGAAATCAATGAATCATTTAAAACTCAGGGAATGAGTGCGCCGACTGATTGAGGAGCTGTGCTATTGGTTGAGAAAGTCACCTGTTCTGATAACGAAATCCAGTATCATACTCTCCATACCACAGTGCAACATTGACAATGGTCCGCTTCAACTGCAAATACATTAAGAACAATCTTAACGATCATCTAAATTAATGTACTGTAGCATTGCTAAGAGTGTCACACGAGTCTCCAAAACCCACCTGTGACTGCAGCACCTGCAGCGCAAGATCCACCTGCTGGACAGCTGCTTTGATTGTCTCGCTGACCTGCATACACACAAACACTCACTCAAAGGAATGCAGCTATTAACACTGTAATGTCATGAAATACAGACGTTGACTGAAATCCAGACATGTGAGGTGGCTACTGACCTGGTCCTGACATACACAGAGCTCATCCACCTGAACGAAGAGCATCACCAGCTTCCAGTCTGTGTCTAGCTCAACGGCCTATCAGAGAGGACTGACACAGTCAGAGATGACAACCAGGGAAGCTGTTCTGATTCTATAGGACAATGTGTTGGGTGATGTAGAAGGAGAGTCACTAGAATACCTGGTTACTCCTGAGGGAGAGTGGTAGTTCCTTTGCCTGCTCCACAAGAGCCCTGCAAATTAACAAAACATGGTCTGAAATACTACCTTTGTCTGTCTTTACTCTCACAGGGAGCAAGTGTAGTTGTGGTTTACCTGTGCTGTGAGGATTCAGAATAGAGGTTTGTCGGACTAGGAAGAGTACTGGTCATTGCAGGGTTAAACATGGCCAGCAGCTCTAGAGTGACAGAGAGACGGGGAGGAGGAAGTTGCTTGATTATAAGTGAAATCAACATTGTCATATACACATGGCTTGGCACTTAGTATGGGGTGAAAAAGACTATAGAAAATGGCTCTGAATCCTCTATATATTAAGTATATACTGTCTATATAGATATACAGTACCAGTCAAAAGTTTGGACACACCTACTCATTCCAGGGTTTTTATACAGAAGATAGCCCTATTTGGTAAAAGGCCTAGTCCATATTATTTGAAGAACAGCTCAAATAAGCAAAGAGAAACGATAGTCCATCATTACTTTAAGACAGGTCAGTCAATACGGAAAATTTCAAGTGCAGTCGCAATAACCATCAAGCATTATGATGAAACTGGCTCTCATGAGGACCGCCACAGGAATGGAAGACCCAGAGTTACCTCTGCTGCAGAGGATAGGTTCATTAGAGTTACCAGCCTCAAAAATAATAAGAAGAGACTTGCTGGGGCCAAGAAACACGAGCAATGGGCATTAGACCGGTTCTTTGTGAGACGCGGTGTGGGTGAACAGATGATCTCTGCATGTGTATTTCCCACTGTAAAGCATGGAGAAGGAGGTGTTATGGTGTGGGAGTGCTTTGCTGGTGACACTATCTGTGATTTATTTAGAATTCAAGGCACACTTAACCAGCATGGTTACTACAGCATTCTGCAGTGATCCGCCATCCCATCTGGTTGTTTTTCAACAGGACAATGACCCAACACACCTCCAGGCTGTGTAAGGGCTATTTTACCAAGAAGGAGAGTGATGGAGTGCTGCATCAGATGACCTGGCCTCCACAATCCCTCAACCTCAACCCAATTGAGATGGTTTGGGATGAGTCGGACGGCAGAATGAAGGAAAAGCAGCCAACAAGTGCTCAGCATATGTGGGAACTCCTTCAAGACTGTTGGAAAAGCATTCCAAGTGAAGCTGGTTGAGAGAATGCCAAGAGTGCGCAAAGCTGTCATCAAGGCAAAGGGTGGCTATTTGAAGAATCTCAAATATAAAATATATTTTGTTTGACACTTTTTTGTTTACTACATGATTCCATATGTGTCATAGCTTTGATGTCTTCACTATTATTATACAATGTAAAAAAATGTAAAAATAAAGAAAAACCCTTTAATGAGTAGGTGTGTCCAAACATTTGACTGGTAGTGTAGATACACGTATGCAATTGGTTTGACCAGACACATCGGACTTTCTTGGTACTAACATACAGTAAGTGCCACGTGAGTTGAGAGTACACTGTGTCTATCGCTTTCATCTTTATTTATGTTCTTTTCTATTGTGTGAGAGGTACAATACTCTTTATCTCTTCCTTATGAAATGCTTTCTTGTGAAATTGCTGGCAGCAAAGTCTGGTGATTCTATCCAGGCTTATTACTAGTAGTATCAGGGTTGGTACTGATACCGGACCAATAAAGATGGCACCCAGTAGTGTGAGATTTATGAATTGATACTACAGTGATCTATAATAAGCTATTAGACACGTGAAACTGTTCATTCTTATATTTGTGTATTGTCTAAAAAACAAATATGTTATTTTTTTTCAATATAAGGATATGTGAAACTGTTCAATAGTTACAGTAAGTTATATAAGAGCAGTGCTGACTCCCATTATCTCAAGTACATTATATAATTTATTACATTTTCTTCCAAATGTATTAGGTTTTTCAATGCTTTTATCCTTTTCCGCACAATCCTATCATTGAAAATTGTTTAGAAGGCAAATAAATTGTTTAAAAGGCAAAAGCCTAAATTCTGTCTGGTCCTAGATTATCTTGATGAAGTGAGATGAAAATTCAACGTAAGTATACACGAGGGTCAGATTGCAAAGGGAGGACATTTGGCATGGAAGAGGAGGATCTGTCAGCACACCAAAATGTCTTATCAACCAATAAATATGTTTTATTGAGATTTTATTTGATGAAGACTTTAAATTATGAATTTGGTGCTAATGGTCACATGAAATTAGGAATTTGTACTGTATGTACTTGTATGCGTGTCTGTCTATGTTTATAGCCTGGTTTTGAATACATATCTTCGCAATAATATTAGACTGTGGAGCAAGATGTTTTCTTCTGTTTCAGAGAACTGGTTTGATTACATTTACATTTTAGTCATTTAGCAGACGCTCTTTTCCAGAGCGACTTACAGTTAGTGAGTGCATACATACATTGAGGAACCCCAAAAACCCCATGAATAGCAGGGGCTTACCATGAAGTCTCGATAACACTCTAGACAGCTCGCTGCTGCAGGGAGAGAGAAAAACAGAAGTCTGAAAAACCTTTCTGCGTTCACATTGACACTAGGTATGACTCAAGATTGACACCTGGTAGTGTCCTCTATCTATCAAGGTTAGAGAATTTTGATATGCTGCTTACCTGTGTGTGTGGGGAAGTCCAATGGTAGAGAGCACAGCCACATCTGAGGGTCTGACACTGTGAGCTGGAGAGAAAATAGTGAAATTAGGAGCTTGCCTGAGACTGCACTGGTTGATCGTTCAGAACAGCCAACTCAACTCAGAAAGGACTAAAGAGACTGAAGATATGCACTGAGTATACCAAATATTAGGAACACCTTCCTAATATTGAGTTTTGCCCTCAGAACAGCCTCAATTCGTAGGGGCATGGACTCTACAAGTTGTTGAAAGTGTTCCACAGGGATGCTGGCCCATGTTGACTCCAATGCTTCCCACAGTTGTGTCAAGTTGGCTGGATGTCCTTTGGGTGGTGGACCATTCTTGATACACACAGGAAACTGTTGAGTGTGAAAAACTCAACAGCATTGCAGTTCCTGACACAAACCGGTGCGCCTGGCACTTACTACCATACCCCGTTAAAAAGGCACTTACATTTTTTTGTCTTGCCCATTCACCCTCTGAATTGCACACACACACAATCCATGTCTCAATTGTCTCAAGGCTTAAAATTCCTTATTTAACCGGTCCCCTCCCATTTATCTACACTGATTGAAGTGGATTTAACAAGTGACATCAATAAAGGATCATAACATTTACCTGGATTCACCTGGTCAGTCTATGTCATGGAAAGAGCAGGTGTTCTTAATGTTGAGTACAAGGCCAGATCATACTGTTCTTAACTCAGTTAAGATGTACTTTCCCTCCTTGGCTGTCAAGACGTTGATAACTAATGACTGATTAGTGAACAGACTCACCTGAGGAGGGAAGGGTCTTGGAGAGAGAGATCTGAGTGCAAGGCAGTGCAGAGGCTGGGAATAACAAAAGCAACATTACAGGTCACATACTATGGAGATTAATACAGTACATTTTTATACAGTCAATGTTGCTTACTGCTAAATGGATGTGGAACGCATACATGAAGTATGCATACATGAAATAACATCTTAGGTTTTCTCAAATACTTTCTCAGAGCAAATTTGTTCCATGAATTTAGCGTTAACATCTTAGAAGAGAGAGGCGATTTTTGACAGATCACATTCAACAAGAATGCTTTCATGTCCCCAAAGATTGTCATAGGCCTACAGTATCAATAACATAGTTCATTGTCCCATATGATGTATAATGTTTTTGTCTCACTCCTGAAAGCCTGACAAGGTCCCCAAGATGTTACTTTAACTTTTCAGAAATACATTAAAATGGTACAACCAAAGCGGGCAATAGTACATCAGTTATACTGAAATATGAGAGACCTCAGGCAGGCCAATAATCACCACAGGAATACAACTTGACTCTACTTGCAATATTTTCCCAATATCATTCCTGCAAACCTAAGACACAAGGCCAATGGTATTCTTCAATTTACCCAGTTTGTGAACTTTTATGTTTAAAACAATCAGAGAGTTTGAGTATAGAAGTGCATAGAAACCTGGTGCTGTCGAGAACCCCAGCAGAGCTATAACTAGTAATGGAAGCATCCTTTTTCTGTCAAAGTTTGTCCTCATAGGCCACCTGTTGTCTTCTGTCTGTCTTGTCTGTCTTTCTGTCTGACTATCAGTCTGTTTGTCTAACAGCTCAGTTGTCTGGGCTTATTGTCCTTTACTGTCCTGCTTTCCTCTACCTTGCGGTTTGATGTGATTCAAAGGTATACCTATCCAGGGTAAATAATACACATCATGCATATGCATATTATGCATAGTTGGAGGGGTTGGGCTCTCGTTCAAGGGCATGGCCGTGACATTGTTACATCACTATAGTGATAATTACGGGAAGAAAGAATGGAAGAAAGTGAACGCAAAGACGAGAGAGAGAGAGGTGGGTAGATATTGTAATAGAGATTGAGATCTAATGCGGCCTATTTCAAAAACTATGTTGGATATGAGAAAGATGTAATACTGTACATACATTCAAACCAATATGAACTTCATGATTACAACATGTTCTTGTCAGAATGATTATCGATTCCCGGTAGTAATAAAATAACAGGACTTATGTAACCTTTTGTGCCAGAGGGGAGATAAAAGATGGGGGTTGCTTTTGTCTTTGAGATTTACTCACTGCACTAGCGTTCACAAAACTAACTGAAAATCATTAGTTACAACATATCATGCCATGTGACGAGGGAATATTGGGCTAGGCTACATATACAAGAGTGGAGAGTTACTTATTGATTCATCATGGTTAACCCCACCCTCAGCACCGGAGACATCTGGTTTTCACGGGAAAACGAAGACAAAATTCTAAACGGGATCCTTGTGGCACACCAACTCTGACATCACCCCATTGCAGTTGAAATTTTAAATGGTTAAGGTAAGGGTAAGGTTAGGGTTAGGTAAGGGTTATGGTTAAGGTTAGGGTTAGCGTAAGGGTAGTGACATCCCAAGGATCCCGGATAGCACTAACAGAAAAGGAAGCGAGACTGTGACGCGACATCCACTTTTGGACATGCGCCTCGCTGTTTACAGTCCCAGGTGAAACATATAGCGGATGAGCATACGACTGGAAAACGTGGAGCTTTCCGAGCAAGTATTCGATGAAGCACTGAATAAAACTTGTAATATTCACACGATAGCTTCTTGCCACAAAGACACCACATACCAATTTTGTTAGTGTCAATTTTGTCGGAGATTCCATTATCACTAGGTAACGCTAACTTTTGCTAGCTTGCTCTCTGATGTTGTTTCCATCCGGAATATTAACAAGGCGACACTCCATCTTAACTCCTCTTCCACATTTACTGGATTGGTTGAACAGTGCTTCATTCTATATGACTCCTACTGTATTTTTGCTAGCTAGGGCCATCTACTTTAAGTGCTGCCTGTTTTCCCAGCAGCCTACTTGGTGTGTGAACTGCTGACTTGCAGATGATTGTTGACACATCAACCAGGATTAAGGGGCAGGGCAATTTGTGACCGTTGTTTTTTTGGTAATCAGTGGCTGTATTGGAGGGGGAGTGGTTTCTCCTCTCCTAGGCAATCAGCAATTAGTACTGGGAGGTGTGCTCTTCACCTTTGTAAGGAAATTAGCAATTAGTATTAGTACTTCAGTCTCCCCTGTTTTCTCAGCGGCATCTGTAAGCGGCGGACGTGTCAGAGGCGGTCTCATCGCAAAACTAAGACCGTTGACGAAACAAATACGGTTTTGCCGAGTTATTCGAGGAAGGAAATAGATTTTGCTCTTTTGCAGCTTTGGCAACTATGTGTGTGCTTTCTATCCCAGTTCGCTCCTCTCCCTGTAGGCTTTACAGACGCTCCCCACCCCTTGGCTGCAACCCTTCTAATTTAGTGTACCCTGTGTGCACAACCCATGTGGAATTCCTGGTCTCTGGCAGCATTTTGAACTGCCGATGCATCTCAGCCTATGCTGCCCTTCAGTCCCTTAACTTTTTTGGCCTGACGGAGATCACCGCAGAGAACACTGCCACTCCAGCTGCTCTCTCTTCATCTGACTACATTTTCTCTCATAGTCCGAGAGCTTCTGGTCATTGCGGTGGTGGCACAGGGCTACTCATTTCTCCTAAGTGGAGATTTTCTATTTTCGTCCTCTCTCACCTGTCCATCTCCTCATTTGAATTCCATGCTGTCACTGATGCTGTCACTGTAACTTGTTCACTCAAGCTTAACATTGTCATCTATCACCCACCAGGTGTCCTTAGAGAGTTCCTCAATGAGCTTGACAACTTGATAAGCTCATTTCCTGACGATGGCTCACCGCTCTTTGTACTTGGAGACTTCAACCTCTAGACATCAATTAATGTATTTCCAACTCTCTCTTTCCCCTCCTTGCCTCCTTTGACCTTACCCTTACCCTTTCCCAGTCCCCTCCCACTCACAAGGCAGACAATATGCTTGACCTCATCTTTACTAAAGGCTGTTTGCCTACTAATCTCACTGCAAACACCCTCCAGGTCTCTGATCACTACTGTGTTTCCTTTTCTGTGTCCCTTTCCTCCAACCCTAGCCACTCAGTCGCTCCCCTCCTCAAGAAACCAACACTCGACTCATCTGACGTCAAAAACTATAGACCTGTATCCCTTTCTTTTCTTTCCAAAATACTTGAGCGTGCTGTCTCTGACCAACTCTCTCACTATCTCTCTCAGAATTATCTTCTTGACCCTAACCAGTCAGGCGTCAAGACGGGTCACTCAACTGAGACTGCGCTTCTCTATGTGTCATGGAGGCTCTCCACTCTGCCAAAGCGGCAATTTATCCAGAACGCTGCAGCCCGCCCGATGTTCAACCTTCCCAAGTTCTCCCATGTCACCCCACTCCTCTGCACACTCCACTGGCTTCCAGTCGAAGCTTGCATCCACTATAATACCACGGTACCTGCTTACGGAGCAGCAAGAGGAACTGCCCCTCCCTACCTTCAGGCTATGCTCAAACCCTACACCGCAACCCGAGCACTCTGTTCTGCCACCTCTGGTCTCTTGGCCTGCCCACCCCTACGAGAGGGCAGCTCCTGCTCAGCCCAGTCCAAGCTATTCTCTGTCCTGGCACCACTGAAGCTAGGACAGCAGAGTCCCTGACCATTTTACGAAAACCTGAAACCCTACCCTTCAAAGGGTATCTTAAACCCTCCCTTCTAGCTCTGACTTTGCTGATAGCAACTTTATTGAGGAAAAATGTACAGTGCCTTGCAAAAGTATTAATCCCCCTTGGCCTTTTTCCTATTTTATTGCATTACAACCTGGAATTTAAATGGATTTTGATTTCATGTAATGGACATAGACATAATAGTCCAAATAGGTGAAGTGAAATGAAAAAAATAACTTGTTTCAAACAATTTAAAACAATAAATAACGGAAAAGAGGTGCATGCATATGTATTCATCCACTTTGCTATGAAGCCCCTAAATAAGATCTGATGCAAACAATTACCTTCAGAAGTCACATAATTAGTTAAATAAAGTCCACCTGTGTGCAATCTAAGTGTCACATGATCTGTCACATGATCTCAGTATATATACACCTGTTCTGAAAGGCCACAGAGTCTGCAACACCACTAAGCAAGGGGCACCACCAAGCAATCGGTACCATGAAGACCAAGGAGCTCTCCAAACAGGTCAGGGACAAAGTTGTGGAGAAGTACAGATCAGGGTTGGGTTATAAAAAAATATCTGAAACTTTGAACATCCCAAAGAGCACCATTAAATCCATTATTAAAAAATTGAAAGAATATGGCACCACAACAAGCCTGCCAAGAGAGGGCAGCCCACCAAAACTCGCAGACCAGGCAAGGAGGGCATTAATCAGAGAGGCAACAAAGAGACCAAAGATAACCCTGAAGGAGCTGCAAAGCTCCACAGCGAAGATTGGAGTATCTGTCCATAGGACCACTTTAAGCCGTACACTCCACAGAGCTGGGGTTTACGGAAGAGTGGGGAGAAAAAAGCCATTGCTTAAAGAAAAAAATATGCAAACACGTTTGGTGTTCGCCAAAAGGCATGTGGGAGACTCCCCAAACATATGGAAGAAGGTACTCTGGTCAGATGAGACAAAAATTGAGCTTTTTGGCCATCAAGAAAAACGCTATGTCTGGCGCAAACCCAACACCTCTCATCACCCTTACAACACTATCCCCACAGTGAAGCATGGTGGTGGCAGCATCATGCTGTGGGGATGTTTTTCATCGGCAGGGACTGGGAAACTGGTCAGAATTGAAGGAATGACAGATGGTGCTAAATATAGGGAAATTCTTGAGGGAAACCTGTTTCAGTCTTCCAGAGATTTGAGACTGGGACGGAGGTTCACCTTCCAGCAGGAAAATGCCACTAAGCATACTGCTAAAGCAACACTCAAGTGGTTTAAGGGGAAACATTTAAATGTCTTGGAATTGCCTAGTCAAAGCCCAGACCTCAATCCAATTGAGAATCTGTAGTATGACTTCAAGATTGCTGTACACCAGCGGAACCCTTCCAACTTGAAGGAGCTGGAGAAGTTTTGCCCTGAAGAATGGGCAAAAATCTCAGTGGCTAGATGTGCCAAGCTTATAGAGACATACCCCAAGAGACTTGCAGCTGTAATTGCTGCAAAAACTGGCTCTACAAAGTATTGACTTTGGGGGGGGGTGAGTAGTTATGCACGCTCAAGTTTTTTGTTTTTTTTCTCTTATTTCTTGTTTGTTTCACACACACAAAAAATGCATCTTCAAAGTGGTAGGCGTGTTGTGTAAATAAAAAAAATCCCCCAAAATCAATTTTAATTCCAGGTTGTAAGGCAACAAAATAGGAAAAATGCCAAGGGGGGTGAATATTTTCGCAAGCCTGTCCTTACTATGACTGTGATATGTGGTTGTCCTACCTAGCTATAATATCCTTTTACTGCAGCGGGCTAAATCAGGGTCACACAGAATGTTTCTTGGTAGTCTTAAACAAATCTACTTTGAAACAAAAGTATAAACCTCACACACCTGACACTTGTATCATGTCAGATATAGAGTTAAAATGTTTTACATTTTGAGTTTGAATTCCAATATTACATTTTATATACATCACAGAAAACTGAAATATAGCAAAATTGTTTGACATGGACACACTGGCTTTTCAGCGTAAAAATATTAACATTCCACCCATGAGGCCACTAAGTCATTTCACTGCAGGAAAAGGGATATACAGTGCATTCAGAAATTATTCAGACCTCTTGACTTTTTAAAAATGTTGTTAAGTTAAAGCTTTATTCTAACATGGATTAAATAAAATAAAATCAATTTACACACAATACCCCATAATGTCAATGCAAATACAGGTTTTTAGAAATGTTTGCAAATGTATTAAATATAAAAAACAGAAATGCCTTATTTACAAAAGTATTCAGACCCTTTGCTATGAGATTTTGAAATTGAGCTCATGTGCATCTTGTTTCCATTGGTCATCCTTGAGACCTTTCTACAACTTGGAGTTCACCTGTTGTAAATTCAATTGATTGGACATGATTTGGAAAGGCACACACGTCTATATAAGGTCCCACATTTGACAGTGCATGTCATTGCAAAATCCAAGCCATGAGGTCGAAGGAATTGTCTGTAGAGCGGCCAGATGGAAGCCACTCCTCAGTAAAATGCACATGACAGCCTGCTTGGAGTTTGTCAAAAGGCACCTAAAGGACTCTGACCATTATTTTATTTTTTTAGTCATTTAGCAGACGCTCATATCCAGAGCGACTTACAGTTAGTAATGTGCATACATTCTTTTGTCTTTTTTTCTTCTTCTTTTTTCCCCCCTCATACTGGCCCCCCATGGGAATCGAACCCACAACCCTGGCGTTGCAAACGCCATGCTCTACATCCCTGCCGGCCATTCCCTTCCCTACCCTGGACGACGCTGGGCCAATTGTGCACTGCCCCATGGGTCTCCCGGTCGCGGCCGGCTACGACAGAGCCTGGATTCGAACCAGGATCTCTAGTGGCACAGCTTGCACTGCAATGCAGTGCCTTAGACCACTGCGCCACTCGGGAGACAAGAAACAAGATTCTCTGGTCTTACGAAACCAAGATTAAACGCTTTGGCCTGAATGCCATGCGTCACGTCTGGAGGAAACTTGGCACCACCCCTACGGTGAAACATGGTGGTGGCAGCATCATGCTGTGGGGACGTTTTTCAGCAGCAGCGACTGGGAGACTAGTCAGGATCGAGGGAAAGGTGAACGGAGCAAAGAGCAAAATACAGAGAGATCCTTGATGAAAACCTGCTCCAGAGCGCTCAGGACCTCAGACTGGGGCGAAGGTTCACCTTCCAACAGGACAATGACCCTAAGCACACAGCCAAGACAACGCAGGAGTGTCTTCGGGACAAGTCTCTGAATGTTTTTGAGTGTCCCAGCCAGAGCCCGGACTTGAACCCGATCGGAGAGACCTGTAAATAGCTGTGCAGCAATGTTCCCCATCCAGCCTGACATAGTTGGAGAGGATCTGCAGAGAAGAATGGGAGAAACTCCCCAAATACAGGTGTGCCAAGCTTGTAGTGTCATACCCAAGAAGACTTGAGGCTGTAATCGCTGCCAAAGGTGCTTCAACAAAGTTCTGAGCAAAGGGTCTGAATACTTATGTAAATGTGATATTTCCGTAAAAATGCTTTGTCATTATGGGGTATTGTGTGTAGATTGATGAGGGGGAAAAAACTATTTAATCAATTTTAGAATAAGGCTGTAATGTAACAAAATTTGGAAAAAGTCAAGGGGTCTGAATACTTTCCGAGTGCACTGTGTGTGTGTGTGTGTGTGTGTATATATATATATATATATATATATATATATATTCCAGACTCTGACATGGCTCGTCCTAGTATTTCTATATTTCTTAAATACATTATTTTACTTCATAGATTTGCGTGTATTGTTAGATATTACTTCACTGTTGGCGCTAACAACATAAGCATTTCACTAGACCCGCAATAACATCTGCTAAATACTGTTTGTGTATCCTAGATCAGCACCCCTACTCTGAGACGTTTGATACAATAATCACAAGCTCACTTCAATTGCGATAACTGCATAGATTAGTCTTTCCACAAGACTCTGTTATCTGTCTCCCAAGGACACTCTCAAGCATGACAATGCTCTATCTTCAGGAGCGCTGCTTATCTTTAGTCTACGGCTGAACAGTTTGTGCAGCTCAAGATGCCAGGTAAATGCCTTTGTAACCTTGTGCCCAAAGATTTCCTGTACTTGGGTTAACAAAGGCCACGTTTGACTTGTTGATCCACCAGACTGTTATTGGGTGGAAGTGTCTGGGAATGAAATTAATCTTTTTGTGATATTCTTTGTGATGTTACTGCAGTGTTATTTCATGTGAGTGCATGTCCAGTTATTACACTGCATTGTTTGAGCATAGGAAATATGTTGATGCAAACTTTTCTACCTGAATGTCAGAAGGCTATGTTCATTGTTAGACAGCCTACCTAGGTTTTGATCCATGAGTTTCTCATATCAGCTGCCTGAAACCATACCACAATGTACAATGAAGATTGAGCTGAGCTTCATAATTTCAGGCCGCTTTCAAAAAAAATATATATATATCAAAAGAGGACTTGTAGTTTCATCAGCTTCCTCTACTGTCCCTGGTTTCATTGCATCAGCGTAGTTTAAAACACTTTGGCCCTTAATCAATGTGGTCTCTGCTGCCCCCTTGGGGTCTCTCTAACAACTCCTTACCCAGTAGGGGGCGGGACCACATGTACCGGATGTTGATAGTCTGCGGAACAGCTGTGAGAGAGCAACAAAGCTGACGCGATATTTAGCGACAGAATCGACGAGAAGGACAAAATTAACGTGAAAATACAACAACAAAACTGGATTCGAGGTTGATAAAGACGAGAAAAGTGGTCAAGAAAACCGGTTATTAACATTCGTGTCGACAAAACTCTGACAATTACAGATTCAAGGTGAGAAAATGTTGGGCACGCGATGTTTCGTCGAGAACATTGGCTTTGTGTACTGTATGAGCTAGACGGTATTTGATTGTACAAACTAGCCGTGAAATGCTATGCTGTCCATGTGTTTGTTATAAGAGACAACGATTGATAAACGTATAGTTTTGTTGTCAATCTGAATGAGGTCATGTTGTTGTTGACAACTTAAATTAATTAAATCGCTTCACACTTCGATCAAGACTGATTGGCACTTGGCTCACAAAAAGCTACTATTTTGAAAAAAAGGACTGACACAGCTGCCATAGTCTTATGACAGCTGTTTACATTTCATATGTGCGCAGGTCTTGTTTAACCTCTCGATTACATGTTGTTCAATCAATCAAACGTCGATTTAGTATGGAATGTTTTGCAACTCCAGTGGAAATGGCAACCGCTGCAACTCTCTGACGCAGTCACAATTCATCCGCCCTTGTTTCTATGTAGAATGTACTTACCCCCAAGGATTTGTCAACGTCAGCCAATGAAGACAACCGTTCACTATGAAACCGAATAGAAGATACACTTGTTAATTCTAGCCATCTTTGTAATATTTGCTATGATGTGTTCACCTAAACTAGTTGGCATCCATGTTGATCTCAATAGGCTCGCACTATAACACAAATAACTCACTAACTGGGCACTATGTAGTCTCGAAAACCCAGTATGCATCTTTGTAAGTAGTTGTCTTATGTACACCTGTTTCAGTCTGAGCCACCCCCTCCCTGCTCTCCTCTGTTCAGCTGCTGTCAGAATGAGTGAGTGTCTTACAGGACTTATTTTACCTTCCTAAAGGTTGGTCTCGGCTGACAACAGTACTATGGGCCGGATCTTCCTGGACCACATTGGCGGGACCCGCCTCTTCTCCTGCGCCAACTGTGACACCATCCTGACCAACCGCTCAGAGCTCATCTCCACGCGCTTCACTGGCGCCACGGGCCGGGCCTTCCTCTTCAACAAGGTGAGCCTGGTGACAGTTGACAACTTTACTGATTTTCCTGTGTTTTATATATATTTTCACACTGAGGTTGGAAATGTTGAATATTATGATGATGCCCTTTTAGTGTAAGAGCTGTTTGAAAAGACCGCCTGAAATGTATGCCTGTTTTGGTGGGATGGAATTTTGGCCTGCCTGGTGACATCACCTGATGGTAAATTAGTTATTAGACTATTAAGAGAGTTCCAAACCTCTCTGCCTATAGCTAGTTTTACATTTTCCCCTCCCCACTCCCAGACATTCCTAGCATAATTCTTACTTGAGAAATTGCTCTTTGCTAAGAAGCTATTTTTGTTTCTTTTTGACCATAAAAAATAATAAAAAATAAAGTAAGGTACTTAATTGTTACCCAGAAATGATTTAATAGTGAGATAAAAACAGATGCATGGACCTTTTTAATTGGTTATAGATAGAGTCCTGGGAAATACACCATGTCCTTACAGATAACACACAACACCATTTCATAATTCTCTAGCCTCGTTCCATACTGTATGTGCTGTTGCAAACTCATTGTTAGGGCATACTTCTATGGGACAAGCTGCTAGTCACTCGCACATAGTGCACGCTTGTATTTTTCTTTATGTTGGTGTCCCTCTTGCGGGTTCAGATACTTTGTTGAATAAATATATATGTTTGTCACCCACAGGTGGTGAACCTGCAGTACAGCGAGGTGCAGGACCGTGTGATGCTGACGGGCAGACACATGGTGCGAGACGTCAGCTGCAAGAACTGCAACAGCAAGCTGGGCTGGATCTACGAGTTTGCCACAGAAGACAGTCAGCGCTACAAGGAAGGCCGCGTCATCCTCGAAAGGGCGCTAGTAAGGGAGAGCGAGGGCTTTGAGGAGCATGTGCCCTCTGATAACTCCTGAGTCCTCGTCCCCCCCTTTCTGCCTTGTGAACCCAACGTCTTTCCCAATCCCCAGTGTCCCTACACTGCTCTCCCTATAGGCAACTACCTGTGTATCAGCTTCCCACCAGCAAGAATTGTGTAGAGCTAGACAAGCCTGTCATTTAGTCCGCCCCTAACACATATTGTACACACAAAACATTTGAGAATGCACTTGCTCACAGGCTATACTGCTTGCGTATAATGTACATGCATTAGATTCTACACGATACATGTGTAGACATTGGAATACAGCTGCCCGAAGAGTAGGGGTTGTATCTTCTTATTGACCCTGAGTGGAGAGCAAGGGTGCATGGACAGATGCTAATGCCTTTATGTCAGTGTTACAGCTGTGTATGATAAAACAACCACTCAGTTGCGTGAGAGTGTGCTGGGGGTGTTCCACCATAAAATAAAAAAGCGTTGGGTCAAAAAATTTGACCAGAAGATGAGTGATGGCTTTCCGCATTGTGATGCTTGTGATCAAGTAAGCTTGTGTTAGGATTCAATATTTACGTTTTATTTAGTGAGAATGGGTGTGAAAATTTATGAGGAAATAATATTTCAGAATTTTGTCATTAAAACCAGTTTCCATTTGCTTTTACTAACATGATTTTTTGATTTGATAGTGATTTTTTAAATGTTTTTTTTTTAGCGTTATAGAACTGACGTCAACCCTCACTTTGATCCCGATGATAAATGCATGTTTGTGTACTAAAGCCTCTCTCCACGTCTACCGCTGGAACGACAGCACACCTAGACTATAGAACCTATGATCAACCTCAAATGCTGACAATTGTGTAGCAATTATCAAAAGACAACTTGACCATCATGTAAATGTGACCAAAATACAATTTAATGGCATTGTTGATAATATTGCCATTTTAGGATTGGTCAGTGCTGCGTTTTCTTTTTGGGTTGTGTAGTCTTGCGATGCCATCCTTCCAATCCTCGTTCATCACTCCGCTATTGGAACGAAGGAACAAAATCGTGAGAAAGCCTGGAAATCAAACCTAGGGGTTGAGTTAAAGCTACTGTTTTTTTGTCGTCAAGGCCTCCGGGTTTATGAATTATTATAATAAAGAAATTGATCATATGAATCAACTTTACCTCTTGTATTGCATCACTTCTCTGATCAATATAGGACACTCATGAGGGAAGAGTATTTATTGGGCAGGACTACACACTCCTCGAAACAAGGGCTAGATTAAGTAGACACCTCAACACAAAGCATAAGGGTACAGGCACACAGATGAATTAACATACAGTAGAGGAAATTCATTGTCCTGTTGTCTGTCAAAAGTAGAACTCATGTATACTGTTTTACAGCAGAGCTCAATACATTAAAAAAGAATTTGCTGGGTTTTAGGCAGACAATCATATCTATTGTCATTCATTCGGCAACTGTTGACTCCCATTGAAAAACCATTGTCTGAAAATTCCAGATGGAGCCAATCTAAATGTGGCCACAGCCTTAGAATGCTAACAAAGTTGTACTCTGAAGGCTGACAGAAAACACAAAGGGTCATGTTCATTGTCTATTTTAGAGAGCTTTTTATTTTTCGTTACAGACATTTGCAAAATTTTCCATAGAATCAGGTTCACACTTTCCATTATCAATTGTTTTGATTAACTGCTTACAAGTTTCTGTAGAAAATAATGCAAAATGTTAACCCTTATTTTAATCATATAATTCAATGTTTTAAAGATCACACACAGGCCACCCATTCCTCTAATCCAGTTTATTCATCCTCAGCAAAAAGGGAAAATAATCAAATAAGAACATAAAAACAGAATTGTTCTTGTTTTATACATTTAACTAAATATGCAGCTCTATGCTAGTGTGTAAGTACATCAAAACAATATGGTTAAATAAAATGTATTTTAAGATACAGAAAGATTAATTTCGTACATTTTTCCATTAGCACTCGAGAGATGACGGGTCGCAGAAATATCAAAATAAAACCACCCACGACGCCACTCTACACATTGCTCCCGCCATCCTTCAAATCATTCCTCGCACCAGAGGAAGGGGGCCAGTAAGAGTCGAAGGAAGCAAGAGAGGGAAGGGAGGAAGAAGAATGAGATGCGCATTGGGACCAGCACACTCAAGTAGTGTGACTAGGGTAGTAGGAAGAAAATATGGAACAGACTAGCATACTACAAAAAAATGAAGCAATGTATTATGCATGCTTTCTAAGTGGTCTGCTAGTATGGCCATATGAAGAGAGCCATAGTTTGACAGTCCAATGAGTCGGGGGTTGTGTAGTGTGTATGTAAAGAAGGGAGTAAGAGTGCACAGGGTATTACAAAACAGAAAGAGCATTAACGGCAACAGCATCACTTATTCAAAGAGCAGCAGGCAGAGAAGGGCTTCTGCTTCAGAGAGGTTCTGTGTGTGAGTGACTCTAGTCCATTTGTTCAGACTAATCCATCAGAGAAGCGGAGGAGGAGAAGGCTGCAGTACAAGGGTTTGTGGTCCGGTTTGTTGTCAAACCAGTCTAGCAGAGTCTCATAAGAACAAACACGGCCACACAACAACTGACCCAGGTCCAGGGGGGACGACGTCCTTAACACACGCTAATTCAATCCAAGAGCCATTGGGTGAAGAGGGAGGAGAAAGAAAGTGTGTGTGGGGGAGGGTAAAGGTCAATATCCCACCCCCCTACAACCTGAGGAGTGGTCAAGGGACAGACAGGGCTATGCTCCGTTCATCTGTCACCATTGATGACCAAGGAGCCGGTAAAGAGAGGTCAGTTTGATATAGAAAGTACTGGTGCAGACAGCCTTATCTTTCGTGATCAGTGAAACAAAGACCGAGGGGAAAGATTGTTGTTGAGCTATGGTTGCGCTGCTGTGTGATAAAAAAAAAATATAAAAATAAAAAGAGTTAGCCAGCTAACTTGCCTAAATATTGTGAAATAACTTAATTCTTAAGAAAGATAAGCTTGAAATGGGCATGGTCCAATTTACTCAACAACCAAAAACACATATCTAAGTTTAGCTTTCTTAAATGAACCTGAACAGCAGTAGTTATTTCTGTTAGCTGGCTAACCCATTGATCCTGCTTTGTAGTATACCCCTCTGGCGAGTTAAGGCTGCGTGAAAACGAACGTGTGATAGTGACTGAGTGTGGCTCCAGAGGTTGCCATGGTGACCGTGTCCAAGGCAGGGTCCAAACTGTCCCCCTCTGGAGGGGTCAAGACTAACAGGAGTGGGTCAACAACCCTCAGCTCCAGAATGGTGGGGTAAGTGTGGTTCTATTACAACCATGCTCTCTCCCTCTTCTTCCCCTTCCCTCCCCCTCTCTCGCTCTCTCTTTCATCCCCCTCTCTCTTTAAGTGCATTTTCTCTGTTGTGTGGATGGGTGGCGACGGGCGGGCAGTGGGGGCAACTCAAGAGCACTCTTCTCCGATTCGTTGGCACGAGCGGCCCACCTTGCGGTCCAGCTTCACCATCTTGAGGACGGCCTCCTCGCGGCCGCGTCCCAGGTGGTCGAACAGGCAGTCATGCTGCTCAGGTAGACGGTGGAGCATGCAGAACACGTAGCCTAGAAGACAAAACAAAGGACGGAGGGAAAATATGAGAGAAAGAGGGAGGCGGAAAACAACAAAGAGACAGAGAAAAATAGATTATGTAAAAATCTGTTACAGTGAGGAGACACATGGAAGCCATGGGCAGACGTGTTCAGATGCGTTTGCGCTGTTCCCATGTAGTACTGACCGCAGCGACAGGAGCCCAGTTCCTGCTGTACCAGCTCCAGTTTGGTTTGGCAGCGATAGCAGCGCCGGCGGTTTTTCTGCTTGGGCCCTCGGCTAGGCTCCTCGCTCGCCGCCTCCCCCTCCAAGTCCCGCCGTGCCCGTTTCTCTGGTGACGCCTCACTCTCCGACCCTGAAGCTGAAAGGGCAGAAGGTTACGCGGTTACAGAGTAACCGTGGGACGTACAATATTGCACGGACATATACACAGAGAGCAGGAGCATGGCTGTACCTGATTCGCAAGGACGTTTTGTGGGTGTACAGAGGGTGCCTTGGGCTGTTTCTGTGCATGACGATACTCCTGGAGGAGGAAGAGCAAGACAAGGGAATCATTCCTCATTGATCAAGAGCCCAAATGTGTGTCACCTAGACCAAGATGTTTTGGAGCCAGAAAGAAAATACCAGAACCTTGAAGGACTTAAGACCTTGTGGCAGTGTTATGCAACCAGATAAGCTCAAATCCATGTCAAATCCTGACATGCCAAGTCTATTTATGTCAACATATCGCTTGACTTACATTCTTAACATGGAGGTTAAAAAAATAACTAGGGATGTGCATATTTCCCTTTCAAGATGATTCGACAGGTCTCTAGATACATTGGCTCCGATACGTTCCAGGAACGATACATTTTTAGTTTGAAACGAGTCTGTGCAATTCAGTTTGATTAGAGAACAAATCGATTCGATGCACAAACATTTGTTGCATAAACATTACTTTTTTTATTCTAAATTAAAATCTGCTGCTGATGGAGCTCATGAAATGGGCCTCTCTAAGATGGATCGGTCTGAGCTGACTTGTGTGTGTTTGTCTAAATAAAATAACATTTTATTGGCCCCATGCGCTGAATACAACAGGTGTAGACTTTACAGTGAAATGCTTACTTACGAGCCCATTCCCAACAGTGTTAAAAAGTAAGACAAATATTTGATAAAGGAAATAGTAACAGAAAAACTAAAACAAGGCTATACTTTGGTTTTGAAATCATTATCACCCACTAATTCACTTGTCATTTTAGCAGATTAAGTGCTTGAGCTAGTAATGTATCAATATTTATTGTATAAAAATTAGCTATGACATAGCCAATGAATATATAGCACAATTTGGATTTCACCCCCCATCTCAAAATCAAATGGTTTTGACCGTTCGGAAGTGTTCTTTACGGAGTGATCTTGTCCTCTCGCGTCGGCCATGCAGTGCGCCTCGCAAAAGATATTGCTGTCCTCGTTAGTAAATTATCAACTTTACCTTGTATATAAAAAAATTATCATATACACTGATTGTTTAAAGCAAAACTACCAAAACTATTGCTGATGGTGAACCTGAAAAATCAAAAAATAAAATATATTGGAAGCCCCAATTCTGCAGGTATAGCCAGATGAGAGTTGTCTCCTATAGATTACTTTTATTCCTGTAAAACACCCTTTTTAACAGCACATAGATAACAATAACCTAGCAAATTACATAGGTTGTCACAACTAATAAAGCCTAATATCATGCAAGTGATTTTAGCATTTGAATGCCGAAAGTGCCGCGCAGATGTGTAAGATCAGGAACAGGACGCCTACCTCACGTTGGTCAGCGCGCGAAGCTGGGCAGTGTGTTCAGTTTAAAACTAGGCTACCGATATTGCCTGGGGTTGTTCGCCATGCAAAATGACTTGTAGATGTCAACACTGTCAACACAGTTACATGCAGTTCGACACTGAAGGAGAGAGGAATTCAGTTGTCACAAAATAGGAGTTATTTTCTGAAAGTAGAAAGAATGTAATATGAGCAAAACATTTTAGTGAACCGCCGATTCGTTATGTTTGAATCTACTTTCTGACCGATGCATGCTTTTTTTGGATCGGTTTTGGTTCCACGGACCGATGCACTTGGATCTTAAACATTTTAAATCGGGGACCGATGCGTATTGGTGAATCGTTACATCCCTAAAAAATACAAAAAATGCAACAAGATACTACAATTGGTTGAAAACTGGAGATCTTAAGTGAAATCCTGGGAGAACCAAGCAGGTCTTAAAAGATGGTCAGTGTGACCATGTTGCCCCACTATGATTCCTATCTGGGCCAGGCTTAGTAAATGTATTGCCAGCAGAGTGAAACACACACACACACACACACAGCACCACTCCTCCCAAGGTAGAAATAGAAGCAGGCTGTCACCATATCAGTCCAACCTTGCAGACCTCTGCCAACTGACTTCATGAAATACATATGGTATATACACTCCCCTCCATATCTTATTTGACAGCGAAGCGAAAATGTTTGCAATTGTGTCTATACTCCAGCATTTTGGATTTGAGATCAAATGTTCCACGAGGAGACAGTACGGAATGTCACCTTTTATTTGAGGGTATTTCCATTAGTGCTGGTTGGTATACTGTATTTTACTATATACCGGTATTGATGCACTGTTTGGGTTTTTACTTTACCTTCTATAAACGGTATTTGAATGTTTGGTTTGTTAAAATGTGATTGAATAGTTTACACAGCTACTTTAGTCATCCCTCTCTGCCATCTTTCTCCATGCCACTTTCCACACAGACCTAGCCCCGTCACTCAAGGAGCACATTTGTTGTTGCTTGACCACGAGAAACTTGCGTTCAGTCTGCATGGTCAATGCAGCACATGCAACAATGTTTATGACAACAATGTTATTTCCACTTTGCTTCTTAATATAAACCTTAGCAAGTTTTAGCTAAATTGTGTTATACGCTAATGCTAAATCGAAGTTAGCTAGCTAGCTAGCTAGCTAGCTAATATATGTACGAGTCGGAGCAAACGTATCTAGCTATACAGCCTGATAGCAGTGATTGTGTAGGCCTAAATCAGCATGTTTGTGCAACAGTATCTTCTAAATCAAAGAGGAATAGGCGAAGCATGAATATGTTGGCTACATGAAAAAACATTTAATCTAGCCAAAGATTATATGGTCCCCTAGGAAACACTGACCAACACTTTGGTTCCTACCCTGCTACAACAACTCATCTGTTGTCATGTCAAACACTGTATTCAAAGTGCCCACTATTATATTCTAACTATAGAATTAGAATAAACATGTATGATTCCAACAGTTCCCCCAAGTGTTTTGATCTATATCACAAGTCAAATCACAATTGCAACATTTAGTTAAAAATAATGCCTCGATTTTTCGCCCATATATCGTTCAGCCCTACGTGGGAGTGTGGAAATAATCTCAAATGAGTGCAGGAAATGCACAAATTTATGAAAATGTTCGATTAAAGTTGAATTGAACAGTATAAAACAATCAGAATGGAGAAAGCCCCACTTAAATCACTTAGAAGTTACAGTATGTGTTGCCACCCTAGGGTCACGCACTACTCAAAGCAAATGTATACCTTTTATTATTAAAAAACATAAAATACTGTCAAATACCATCATACCGTCAAAAAATACCGTGATATCATATTATGGCCATATCTGTTTTACCGTTTAGAAGTGAAAGAACTATATACATCTAGTCCCCCCATTTGAAGAAGTCTTAAGTATTTGGACAAATTCACTTAGTGTATTAAAGTAGTCAAAGGTTTTTGGGGATGCATTTGCAGTTTGTTTTGGTTGTGTTTCAGATTATGTTTTGCCCAATAGTAACTGAATGGGGAGTAACGTATTATGTCATTTTGGAGTCAGTTTTATTGTAAATAAAAATAGATGTTTCGTTAACACTTTTATATTAATGTGGATGCTACCATGATTACGGATAATTATGAATCAATTATGAAAAATGATGAGTGAGAACGTTAGAGGCACAAAGATCATAACCCCCCCCAATCGATTTCTTTCAAACATTTTAATCATTTAGCAGACAGTCTTATCCAGATCGACTTACAGGAGCAATTAGGGTTAAGTGCCTTGCTCAAGGGCACATCGGCAGAGCCTTATCGGCTTGGAGATTCAAACCAGTAACCTTTTAGTTACTGGCCCAACGCTCTAACTGCTATGCTCCCTGCCGCCCTTAAGGGCGATTCACAATATATTTTATTTTAGGTTCTCTCGAAATAAGCTTTGTTGTACAATTAAAAAGGTCAATACTCTAATTCAGGGCTTGTGAAATTATACCTAGGCTAAATATAACTCTACCACAACCATAAGACCCATTAATAAATTTAAATTTTATCAAAATTGTTTAACCTGCTTTTTTGCAATAAATCACTGATCTCTGGCTTTCATGTCTGTCTATGAAAATGCCTTTTTTGTAAACAATTTAACCAGAAACATGCATGCATAATGCACATTAATTCACTAATAATGACTAACTTCTTGTAGCAGGCATAATAGAAAATGACCACAGGTCTCAAACAATCCCTCAAGCACAAGCCCACATGCTAGTGAGTAGTCAGCTAATCTTTATATTTCAAGTTTAGCCAACTTGGACCTATTTGCTAGCTAACAAGGCAGAACAGTTGAATTGTTATGAACACACCCTTCTGTTCATCTCCAACTGTTTGAACAGCATGCTAGCCTGCCCACTTTGTTTAGATGTTGAAATCAAGTGGCTTAGCTTATTTCTCAGAATGAGAACGAGTTGCCATTTACTTATATAATTATGTTTTATGCTTATTGCACATTTATAAAAACAGACTAGACAGCTAGTATATGTTTTTGGCTAAAATGATACCGGGCGCGACAAACTGAGCATACATTTTCCAGAATCCATGTTAATTGATACTCCTGTTTTAGTAGTGTCTGCTCTGCGCACAATTTGAGGAGTTGAGACATAAAAAGTGTATCGTTAGAAAGGTTAACTACTCCTCTATTACAGTAAAATAATGTCTAAATGTCTGTGTCGATATGACTGAGTCGGTTGGACCGAGCCTCAAAAGTAAATAGCGAGTTAAAACCGCTCATCTTCTTGTTGTGAGTGACAGGGGGAGGGGCTTGGTGTGTGTAAGTAAATGGGGAAAGGCTATACGGACACGCCTGGTGCCCAAATTGATGACCCATGTCGCGCAGCCGAGAGACAAGCGTAGAGAGGAATGGATTCAGTTCAGTCAGTCATCCTGATGAGTCCTTCCCAGCTAACTAGTTCATACTGGCTAGCTGGCAACATCAGCAGCATGACACTAGTTAAAACCTGTCAAATAAACTGATGTTTATTTCAATGGGCGAGGGATAAATAACTTGTAGTATAAGTTTCTAGCCACAAGCATAAACTAGCTAGCTGGGAAGGGCGACTGACTGAACAAAATTTGTTAGTCTCCACTCGACTCTCACTGCACGACATACGCCATCAATGTGGGCACCAGGCGTGTCCGTATAGCCTTCCCAGAGTATATGGGAATGTGCACACAGCACAGAATGGAGCGAGTAACACAAGACCAAAAAGGCAACATGAGAACAAGCGGACTTAAACTCTCATAAAAAATACAACAAAAAAATAAACTTGATTTTCTGATACAGGGATTTGGAATATTGTGCTAAAACACACATTCAAATTAATTTGACATTGCTCAGTCCTAGGTGAGAGGTTAGCATTTGAGGAGGTATTGTCATCATTATTCATGATTCATTCATGATTATTTGTAATCATGTTAGCATCCACATTAATGTAGAAGTGTTCAGAAACATTTTATTCTTATTTACAATCAAATTGGCTACTAAATGACAATACATTATTCGCTGTTCAGTTCCTATTGGGCAAAACATAATCCGAAACACAACAGTCCCACCTTTTTCATTGTCAAAAATTCAATTTTGCCCATATTCTTGATGAAGAATGTTAAGCTCACTGGTGAGACAACAAAATCAACCAAATCCGCTAAATAGGACTACTAATAACTATATTGAACATACTGTGATTGAAGAATAGTACAGAGCTTAAATTATTTAAAAATATAGGTTCATAATCATTTCTACACACTTGCTACCTGGTTTTAGTCATTTAAGTTCAGACTAGAGTATTCTTCATTTATATGAAAAAAAAAAAAAAAAAACGTATTATTTTTACTTAGACACTCGCAACTCATTCAAAACCAACTGGTGGGTCGCGGGAGGTTTTGAATGGGTTGCAAGTGTCAGTCAAAATAATAAATGTCGCGACCCACCAGCTGAAAAATCGCTGCGTGCTAGTAATATGGGACCAAATACTACATTTCTTACTACTTTAATACACCATCAGTGAATTTGTTCAAATACTTATGACTTCTCCAAATATCGGGACTAGATACATAAAGTTCTTTCAATTTAAATGGTGAAAACAGACATGTATGAAAATACCCCCCCAAAAAAAATTGACATCCTATACTGTCGCCTTATATTTAACATTTGATCTCAAATCCAAAATGCTATAGCACAGAGCCAAATTTATACATTTTAGCTTCACCGTCCAATGAAATATGGAGGTGAGTGTATGTGGACTAAAACGTGCACTCTCCTTTCTTCCTTATTGACATCTAATACTAAGAGATAAGGCATTTGATAAGTGTTTGACCATATAGACTGAAGATGCATATACAGTGCATTCGGAAAGTATTCAGACCCCTTGACTTTTTCCACTTTGTTACGTTACAACCTTATTCTAAAAATGATTAAATTACAAATAACAAACGGAAATATCTCATTTACATAAGTATTCAGACCCTTTACTCTGAACTTTGTTGAAGCACCTTTGGCAGCGATTACATCAGAGTCTTCTTGGGTATGACGCTACAAGCTTGACAAACCTGTATTTGGGGAGTTTCTCCCATTCTTCTCTGCAGATCCTCTCAAGCTCTGTCAGGTTGGATGGGGAGCGTCGCTGCACAGCCGTTTTCAGGTCTCTCCAGATGTTCGATCGGGTTCAAGTCTGGGCTCTGGCTGGGCCACTCAAGGACATTCAGAGACTTGTTCTTAAGCCACTCATGCGTTGTCTTGGCTGTGTGCTTAGGGTTGTTGTCCTGTAGGAAGGTGAACCTTCGCCCCAGTCTGAGGTCCTGAGTGCTCTGGAGCAGGTTTTCATCAAGGATCTCTCTGTACTTTGCTCCGTTCATCGTTCCCTCGATCCTGAATAGTCTCCCAGTCCCTGCCGCTGAAAAACATCCCCACAACATGATGCTGCCACCACCATGCTTCACTGTAGGGATGGTGCCAGGTTTCCTCCAGAAGTGACACTTGGCATTCAGGCCAAAGAGTTCAATCTTGGTTTCATCAGACCAGAGGATCTTGTTTCTCATGGTCTGAGAGTCCGTTAGGTGCCTTTTGGCAAACTCCAAGCGGGCTGTCATGTGCCTTTTACTGAGGAGTGGCTTCCGTCTGGCCACTACCATAAAGGCCTGATTGGTGGAGTGCTGCAGAGATGGTTGTCCTTCTGGAAGGTTCTCCCATCTCTACAGAAGAACTCTGAAGCTCTGTCAGAGTGACCATTGGGTTATTGGTCACCTCCCTGACCAAGGCCCTTCTCCCACGATTGCTCAGTTTGGCCGGGCGGCCAGCTGTAGGAAGAATCTTGGTGGTTCCAAACTTCTTCCATTTAAGAATGATGGAGGCCACTGTTCTTGGTGACCTTCAATGCTGCAGAAATGTTTTGGTACCCTTCCCTAGATCTGTGCCTTGACACAATCCTGTCTCGGAGCTCTACAGACAATTCCTTCGACCTCATCACTTGGTTTTTGCTCTGACATGCACTGTCAACTGTGGGAACTTATATAGACAGGTGTGTGCCTTTCCAAATCATGTCCAATCAATTTAATTTACCAAAGGTGGACTCCAATAAAATTGTAGAAACATCTCAAGGATGATCAATGGAAACAGGATGCACCTGAGCTCAATTTAGAGTCTCATAGCAAAGGGTCTGAATACTTAGGTAAATAAGGTATCTGTATATTTTGTACAAATGTCCAAACATTTCTAAAAACCTATTTTCGCTTTCTCATTATGGGGTATTGTGTCCATTTTAGAATAAGGCTGTAATGTAACAAACTGTGAAAAAAGGGAAGGGGTCTGAATACTTTCCAAATGCACTGTATAAACCATATAGATTGAAAATGCTGAAGAGTGAGGGTCCAGTCTGATGAGATTTAGTTAGGACTTTGTGTGATTGCATGACTGACAATGATCTCAGCTATGGTAAATCATTCAAAAGTTTCAGAATGTGCGCCACCTCAAAACTCTAAGTTGTGGACCCCCCTTCTTACCCTCCTGTGTAGGTGATAATGTGGGGACAGGGTCTTCGGTTGACACCGACGGCTGCTCGGAGCTAGTGGGTGGTGACGACGATAGGGATTGGCTACCGTTGCTGCTCGTCTCGCCACTGAAGACAGCCGATTGGCTACTGCCAGTGCTCGGGCTGGGCTTTGAGGTGCAGTCCTCGTCTGTCTGCTTCTGCTCGATATCTGAAAGAACGATGAAATAATGCTTTTTAGTGCCCCCAGCACCACATACAGTACATTGGCTCTTAACAGACCAGCTGCTTCAGAGCATTAGTACATACAAACATACACATGTGGGGGCATGCGTCACCATTTCCTCTCCCCAGAACATACGTGGTCCTCTGTAGCTCAGCTGGTAGAGCACGGCGCTTGTAACGCCAAGGTAGTGGGTTCGATCCCCGGGACCACCCATACACAAAAAAATAAAAATAAAAATAATGTATGCACGCATGACTGTAAGTCGCTTTGGATAAAAGCGTCTGCTAAATGCCATATTATTATTATTATTATTATTATTATTATTATTATAATAATTCAGAATCCCAGATAGTCTGGCCTGAGAGGAGGTCAATCCCTCAGAATGACCCTTCAGCATGATTAGGGCTGTGGCGGTCACACAATTCCATCAGCCGGTGATTGTCAAGCAAATAACTGTCGGTCGCACTGTAATTGACTGTTAATTAACAAACACATTTAGCATCTCCTGACTTCCACACATAGCCTACAAGCCACTGATGCAGACCTTTGGAACATCTACATTTTAAAAAGTCTAATAAATCCATGTAATATAGCCTACACCTTCACAATAAATCCATTATTTATTTTAGACAGAAGAAGCATGATATGATGAAAAAGTAGTCCATTTAAGAACAGAATAGCATACTCTGAGTTGTCCTCATGTTAGGTACTGATCTGGCTATGCCAAATGGCTGTGGGCTACACTAGTTCATTTAGCAGACAAGATTTGCTTAAAATTCCACAGCATTATTTTATAGTATGAAGAATACAATTGAACAAAGCTGAATAAAATAGAAATAATTTCTCCAAACGATTTGCGTGAGTGCACATATGCGGCTATTCTGTGTTGAGCGGTTAACAAAGAAATAGGTACTCCTATATGCTTAATTTAGAGTTAATGTAACTTCAGTTGTTCTACAAACGTTGGGCTATATATGTTTTGATTTTCTATACATTTTAAGGCTGCATTTTAAGTCGCTTGAAAGGCATGAGCTTTGCTTTGTTTTTTGCGCAGGCTGTACACACTTCATTATTCTCTCATTCACAATTTGACAAGCACTTGCTGATGCCTCGAATTTCAATTTGTGGCCATAATGCACCCTAAGAAAATCCATGCCTTTGTTGTGCCCTTCTCCCTGAATGCGCGCTCCGAAGCACTCACTGAGTGCTGCGTGCTCTCCATCACGTGATCGGTCTATCTCACAGGCTACAAGTGAAGACAGACACATCAGGGACGCAACTGCGCGCGTCCTTATCCAATTCTGAGGTGCATATTGAAAGAAATGTCCACATTTACTTTCTGTCAGCCAACAAGATGAGTAGGCCTAACGAACAGCAAAAGCACTAGCCTATGTCAATCTACTATCCCCCATAGTATAAAAGTTGACCTATTCTATTCTGTGCGAGAAATACATTTATTGACATTATAAGCGCAGCAATGCGCACATGGCAGTAGGCTATTAATGGGAATGTTCCATTAGCGGGAAAACACCATTATCAAAAGTGACCGCAAATGCCATTATGCATGTAATGCTTTTATTATAAAAGGTGCATTTTTATGGTGAACATTATCTTCCCCAAACTTGAAACTCACGTGCTGCTTATGTATGCCAGTTAGGCTCTAAACCCCTTGTAAAGCGGATGAATGTGCTTAATTTTAAGAAGTTATTTGGACACTTTAGTTACAAACCTTATCAAAACAAATAGGCCTATGGGCTAGGCAACACGAGGTGTGCGACCATGATCTGAAAAAGTTGCATATGTAAGTGATAATATATAATTCACAAGTGATAGGCTAATATTGTCACTCATCAGACTATTCTTGATTTCATCTTTGCATATACTAAATAATATAGGTGTGAAATTTGTTTTGATTCAGAATGGACCATTATCATGCACCCGTCTCGAAACAGGGGCAGCGGGAAAAAATACATGTCATCTATGCACTTAAATAGCGGATGGAGGACGCTTTTCCTGTGATTCATTTTCATGCCAGCCAGGTAGGCTATGCTAAGATAAGCAATGTGCTAAATATTAGGAAAGCTGAAAAATAAATCAATATAGTAGGCCTAGCCTATTGAAAGCTGAAGAGATCCTCCTCTATTTAGAGGCCATACCTCTGTTTTCTCATGCAATTGCATAGCCTATAGAAATGTTTCACAACATAAGCTCTCATGAAGTGTCTGATTCGATTTTCAAAACATTTTCATTGATGTCAGAGTGATTAGAGGGACAATAGTGCTGAGTACCAGGCAGTTAGCACGTTTGGTAGGCTACTAATGACAAGCAGCAGCATCAGAGCTTGGAGAAGCCTAATTACTGTGACTAAACGGTCACGTGGAATTTGACTGCCTTCATGTCTCGTGACCGTCGGTGTGGCGGTAATACGGTCACCGCAACAGCCCTGAGCATGACCCCATTTTAGGCTACCAGGGAGTCTATCCATCAACTCCACAAACCCAGAGGGCTGCACAAGTCAAAAAGCAGTTGGGCTTTATCTTAATCCTCTATAGAACCCATTTCTGCTGTCACTGTGCTCTTGTGTATTGAATCTATTCTAGGCAATGTTGCTGCTGAAAAGGACTACAGAAGCCCATCTCAAAACTTCAGTCACAATCTCCATTTTACAGCTGCAATCTTTTACCACAGGAGTATTGAGAGCCAACACCCCGACATACAGCAAAGCATGAGATCAGACCTGAGCAAATATTTTTCCTGACACCAGTCTTATTCTTGAGATAGCTATTATGTCAGTGAGAAGTCCATCTGTAAATAGGGTTTAGGCCCTTTTTGGATTCTGTAAATAGCCTAGTATTTTTACTGCATGCCTTTGGAATATTTCACATGGATTTTTTTTACCATAAAGGAAAGTACATTACTTCTACAAAATATATCTAACATACCAATAAATGTAAGCTAATCGAGGTGTAAAATAAAACGGCATTTCCATACAGCAGAGACATCACATGACAGGCAGTAATCTGCACCAGGCCGCACACCCCCTTCTGATGTCTCAGGTACACACAGGGCTCTGCCACATAACAGAAACCCATTGTCCTCCACACATATGGGAATTTAATTGGCTTGCGCAAGGAACGGCAAGACTTACCAGCAAAACATTTTGAGCAGAGGTTCATGGTTTTACTGGACCTGGGGAGAAAAAAAAAAAAAGTCAGTCAGTCCCAGAAAGGAATGGTACCAAGGTGGAGAGATGGCCAAACAGGATAAAGGCTCACTAGACACACTTCGGTCAATGCAATCAGTCCCTCTTATTTGCAACAAAATCACACAAAAACACAATTTAAATGCATTTCAATTGCTCTCGAGACGCTCAAACCTGACCACTTTTTTGATACCCAGACAGTCAGACTGCTCTGAGGTTGCCATAGCTACGGAAAGTGAGTGAAAACAAACATATGGCAGGGGTGAAAGATGACAGAAAGTCATGGCAGGGAAGAAGAGAAGGGGGAAACAAACAAAGGCGGGGGTGGGGTAGAGGTTGTCGCAAACAGTTGAAAAGGGAATGAGCATAAGGTAGCAATAAAGTCAATATTTTTACAGCAACAAATGATAGCTAGGCCTACACCATTGCATTCCTTTGATATTACCTCTCACTGGTTAACAAGCTAATCAGTCCAGGCTAATCAAATATGCCAAGAAGCCTATCCTGACAGGGGCTTTGACTTTTAGGACAAGTGACCAACCGCCATTGACATGGGTTCATTACTGACTGAAGTAGGCTAGTCAACTCAACATGGATAACAACTATTACAGAAGCTCTTTGTGTATCAATCACATTTTTGCATTACTGTACGTATACATTACAAAATGTTGTGGTCAGAAATAGCCTAGAGAAAATATAGGCCTAGACAGAAAAAATATGTCTAAAATCAGACAGAGGTTCACTTCTCTCACAATCCTAATGATGTGTAATAGGCTAACTCACGACATAGCAGACTCAACTCCATGATTTAGTCCTTTTAGCAGACGCTCTTATCCAGAGCGACTTACAGTTAGCGAGTGCATACTTTTTTTTCATACTGGCCCCCCGTGGGAATCGAACCCACAACCCTGGCGTTGCAAGCGCCATGCTCTACCAACTGAGCTACACGGGACCACGAACACAACCGAATACCCTTCCACATAGCCTCAAAAACCTGTTCAACTCAAATCTAACAAATCTACATCTCCCACTAAACATGCACCATTTTCTCAGGCTTTCCTTTCAATCCTTTCCTCAATGACATCACGTTTCCAGTGGTGGGCTAATGGTTGTTCTCATTCTGGACCTCTGACACTCACTTTAATAGGAGGTCACAATGCATAATGCTGGGACGTTTCTGTTCAGGGCTGTGTGAGCCCTGTCAATACGGGAAAGGCTGGAACTCCATAGGGTATTCAGCCCATTGTGCCCTCAGGAGGGAATGTGACCAATGCAGTGTTCTAATTGACCTGGGATACATTTAGGACTCGTCCTACCATGACCTTAACTGCAATTTGACTTTTCCTCCCTACATCACGTGTCATTCAGTGGTACAGTAACTGGACCTGAACTGAGAAGAGGATTTGCAGTATCCATAGAAAGGCCTCAATCATAGATGAACATTCTGACCAGCCCCATGCTAGCCTAATCCTTGAATTCTTGCACTACATTGAAGATGTGTTTGCCTACCCACTTTAATGTAACCTAATGTCATGTCCTCCTTCGCTCCCCATCTCGATAAGGGCTTCAACTGAGCTAACATGTTCATCAAAACAGAATATCAGTCTAGAATGGTCCATCACTATCAAAATAATATTCCTTTGAATTCAGTCACATTAATATGCACAGGCTCCATTTTACCAGAGAAGAACCAACTGACCTAAAAACAGGAGTTGGAAATTCAGCCCAGATTTCTTGAAAGTAGCCCACTTCTAAAGGCGAAGCCTATATCCTGCAGTCTCGAGATACAGACTCCCCTCCAAATGTTTAATGAGACCTCAAACTGAAGAGGATGTTTGTTCCTGACTCTAGCTGCTGTAATCAGGCATATTCAGAAAGAGAGATAGTTTGAACACACAGCAGGGAAGGGCTACAAAGAAAGCCGGAGGGCTTCAGAGGGAAAAACTGTGACAAGCTTCAGACGCCTCGAACCAGGTGTTGACCATAAGAGCCGTAAACATGCTTCCGATTGTGTCACCTGACATTGACAGGTGTGAGTAATTCCCAGTTTGCGCACAACACACCCTAAAGATCAGTGTGACTAGTTAGAGAGCATGGCACAAGAAAGAAGGGCAGGGTTTTAGTACATAAAATCATCCAGGGATTAATATCCCAGAGTCCTCCTCTGATTGCTACTTATGGTGCTTTCAAGACATGACGTCAGTGATCTTTTAGATGGAACTCTAGAAAGATGCCCGAGTTTCCGACCTGGAACTCAAGTCGTAAACGTTTTTTTCAACAGTCGGGAGCTCGTTTTTTTCCGAGTTCCCAGTTGTTTTGAACGCAGTAAAGTCGGAGATTTCCGAGTTCCCCATTGTTTTGAACGTGGCAATAGTTGCACATACAGGAAGAACTGTCCAGTTCAAACAAAGCCCCCATTTTTAATCTTAGTAGGCGATACACTTTGGTTGGTCGCTCGATTTCACAAAAGATGATTTAATGTTACATTTTCTGCCAAAATGGGCTCGATTAAATGACATTAAAGAAACATTTCCGGTATGTAATCACAACTTCACTGGAATGTGAGGGAGGAACGTGCTGTAACTTGATAACTAATGTGGTTACACAGCAATTACAGTCTAAAATATTGGATACAAAGTCAACGTTTCATCTTCAGTTAGGATATCATAGCTATGACTGGATACATTTCCATTTAAGGAGACATTGCCTAACTAGAGCGAATGATGAACAGATTATAACAAGAAAACGTAACATAAAACGTTCAGAACCACAGAACATGATTCGACGCTTTGATAGATCTACACTCATGGATAGAGGATAAAAAGACCAAACCTAAAAAATCAGATAGGAATCAGTTTTGTAACTCAAACATTTGCCCCAACCCCCACCCGGTATGCCCAACATAACAACAATGGCTTTAGCCTAGGCTACATTCATTCCCATCCCCATTAACACTACAATAAACCATCTCCACAATACATTATGTGCGACATCTTACCCCCAAAATCCACATGGACACCGAGGTGGTAAGGGTTTGCTGCGCTCACTACCAGTATCCCCCATGACTTCAATAAAATGATCAAGGGTACGCAAGGCTGGGGATGAGACAGGGGCCTTGTCGTTGTAAAGGATCTTCAGCCAACTCAAGTAGCAAATATCCGCTTCTATAAATAGTCCTCAGTCAAATTGGACAACGAAGGTGGATGGCTTTGCCGACACGAGCGGCCACAGGGATCCGAATAGTCCTAAACAGCTCAGATTGGATTAATTGATCATCCAAGTGTCCTCACTGGACTCAAAGCAATCAGCTGGAGCTCGGCTACTACTAACAGCCACAGAGGGGGTGTTAACGATTTGTCCAACCTGTAACATGAAAGATACAACACAAAACATAAACACCACAACAACAAATATTTCAAACAATCTCATTATTAAATCACGCGTATTCGACACAGAGTAAGCAGCAGTCACATCGAAAATCTTTCCACTTACACCATGTGCTGTGTCCCCCAATCTTCAGTGGGCCGAACTGTACAAAGTAAGCGGTTCAGGAAACTACCGGTACCTACACCTTCATTGTGGCTCAAATTTAGAATAAACGTACACTGTGTCCTATCAATAGAATCAAAATGGCGTTCATTGAAGGCAATTCCCCCTAGTGTTTTGGATTAACGAATGTAAACACACACACAAACTATATGGATTCATGTATTTTAAACAGAAGCAATATAAAACAGTTTATTTCCTTACTTCACGGTTTGAATCTTTGAAAATAATTATTACCGAAGCGCGATTATGAATACGTCCCAACCCATTGGTCTTTTTGGGACAACCCAAAACGTGAAGCAGGAGGATCACAAAATCCATTTCACGTCAGAGTAGGTATTTGCACAACTCATATTATTCGAAGTCACTTACCTATCTAAATATATGGATCAAACATATTGCTCACCGAACATTTGCAATTGGAGTGCTTGAAGCATGAACAAGCATTCTTGAGATACAATTAGTTGGGAATCTATCCCATCCCCCCCTTGTAGTCTAACCCCTCCCTTGAGAGTATTACATCTTTCAAACAGTACAAATTGGAAATAAAGTTACAGTATTGTGTAATACATGTCTAAATACAAAGACATACTGACTTACATGAGTCTTCATGACACACAAGTTGTACATGTTTTGTCCCACATCTTTAATACAATATTGTTTAAAAGCTTGATTGCCAGCTGGTTTATAAAGTTACAGTATTTTGTAAAACATATGTCAAAATACAAAGACATACTGACTTACGTGAGTCTTCATGACACACAAGTTGTACATGTTTTGTTCCACATCTTTAATACAGTATTGTTTAAAAGCTTGATTGTCAGCTGGTAGGGTATCAAAAAAAAACACGTGGTCTTTCAAGTTTGATGAGGGTTGCTTTGAATAAGTACTGCAAAATGAGTCAGACAAGATATAATGCTGTTTCCTGCAGTCACTGCCTGCAATAAAATGTACATTTATTGGCCCACTAACATTTTCCATAAGCAGAGATCACCAGTCCGAAGAAGCCTTTGGCACTCACTAACGCAAACCTGCTTGACTTCACAAATAAATCACCATTATTTGAACAGTAAGAGGTTCAGAGACCTTTCTGCTGAATCTCTATCAACATCTACAAAAGAGACCTCTTCTGAAAAGAAACACCACTGTATGGTAATGGCAGTGATATAGAAAAACGGATAAAAGTCATCCCAAGCAATGGTGATATTGTACAGTAATGATATTATTGTACTAAGATAATACAACAAAGAAATTGCAAATCAAAACTATTCAAGAAAGAGAATGGAAAATGTATAGATATGAGAAGGGTAATCTGCTTTCTAATTAATTGACTTTAAGTCAATGTTCAGCCCTCATGCAATAGCAGCAACGTGAAAGTATCTAAAGGATTGCTCAAATCTACTTGAAAGCTTCTAAAATAACATAGGAGATCAAAGGAACTATAAAAAGTAGAGCAATATTATGAGCCAAAAAACAAAGAAAGGAGGGAAGAGGTGAGGGATAATAGGAACCACAGCACTGAGAAATAAGCCGTTGAGCCAACACAAAACTTAATTAACAAATCAAACCACACAAACAAAATCATTGACAATATACAGTATTATGTCTGAGCATTTAGCGGTAAGTACAAGCAGCAATTAAAGTTTTTCTCAAAGGTGAGGACAACAATAAAATGACAAAAACAAATCCATAGACAGAAATAACTATTACCAGCGCTGCACATTTTTCCTGTTCTTAGTAGACCTAGGTAACATCTTTCTTACAGTAAATATGGGGAACAATAAAGTGCCAAATATCAGCTGCTCATAAACCATAAATATCCCACGTTCTAAGCTCCAGTGCATAATTTGGTCCACTCTCCCAGCCTCCGATTTCTACAAAGTGCTGATAAATTTACCAAACAATTTAAACCGGAACATTGAAGTGCTGCTCAGCCAAGACCGTAATATTAGTATTTTAGCCCAAATGTTTGCTTGGGAGGAGGGGGTGAATCAAATTAATTTGCCAAATAAAAACCTTCAACATAGGTGAACATGACCATTCTAGTTAACCAACAAGTGCACATAAACAACTTCAATGCCACAGAAATTATGAGAAAGTATTTTTTAACATTCAAGTAAAAACTTGTCATTGGGATTGTTCATTTTCAAAATGAGAAGAAAATAATTGATAGTGATATTATTACCAACATCACTGCTGTATTCCATTGGTTAATCTTTGGACGAGCGGTCCTGATTGCACCTCCACTGGCTGGATAGCACCTGGCCCGGCTTTGAAGAGTGCCAACTGAGTACCCTTAAACCGGCTGCAAATGTGTGCTAATACCTTCACAGAAAATGTATGGACCAATTTACTCCATAGCCTTTTTTTCCTTCATTGTCTATCATCTCAGACAGGGAGCACCCTAAAAACCTGAAATGGATGTAAGATTCTGTTAACGTGTTCATCATTGCAATAGAGGCTTATCTTTGTTATCAAAATTGATTGCATGCTTAGCAGCATTTTAGCAGTGCATCCTGTGTGATGGATAAAGGTTGTGCAAAATTGTTTTCTTGGGGGTTCTGTCTCTCTCTCTCTCTCTCAGAGGTGGGGTTGTGAGGAAGTGGAGGATGAAGAGGGCTGGGAGGGGAGAAGGCTATGGCTGCAGGAGGGCCGAAGGGGTCTAGGGTTCTGGGATGTGGAACTGGACTCAAAAGGTGACGCCTGCCCAGGACTGCCCTCTTTCACCTCCGTGTCCAACTGCGCCGGACACTCAAAGTGGACACAATGGAACACCTGAAAAAGAGAGAGAAACAGGGAATGAGGAACGGAGATAAAACATTTCCCCCTGGTGCCACTAAGTTTTTCAGATGGTGGCACCAGCCCATGATTTGGTTGCAATATTTGTTCCCCCGCACGGTCACACAATAGAAAAAGATAAGTAATCAACTTAGAAAGTAGTTGGAGGAGAGATTGACTGCATCACTATTTGTCTTTTTGCGAGGTGTTGAAGATACCGAACTGTCTGTTCAAGCAGTTGGCACACAGTTCGGACTGTGCCACACAAGACAAGCAAATCAGAGGTCTTCACAGTGCCCAGCTCCAGAACAGAGGCTGGGAAACGCACAGTATTAAATAAAGCCATGACTACATGGAACGCTCTGCCATCCCCAGGTAACTCAAACTAGCAATACAACCAGATAAAATAACACTTGTATGGTAACTGTCGCAGCCGGCCGCGACCGGGAGACTCATGGGCGGCGCACAATTGGCCCAGCGTCGTCCAGGGTAGGGGAGGGAATGGCCGGCAGGGATGTAGCTCAGTTGATAGAGCATGGCGTTTGCAACGCCAGGGTTGTCGGTTTGATTCCCACGGGGGGGGGGGGGGAGGGGCAGTATAAAAAAAAAAAAAAAAAATGTATTCACTAACTGTAAGTCGCTCTGGTTAAGAGCGTCTGCTAAATGACTAAAATGTAAATGTAGTTCAAAGTGCTTTATTAAGAAGTGAGATGGTATTCAGAAATATGTTGTTTCCTCTAACATTTTGTGATTCAAAATATGCACAACCTAATCCAGTGATTGTCATGAATATTGGGTTGACAATTAGACTATTGTCATTATATTTTACTGTTAAAATAGGGCTCCAGAATTTTCATTTTTTTTGTTTACTAGAGTTGAATTTTCTTTGTCTTTATGTGCACTAATATCATAGGCTAATTTACTTCGGGTTAATTTCCCACCTGAGTAAGTGAAAACTCAACACACTTTAGCTAGATCACTAACTAATTATAAACTGGGTAGTTTGAGCCCTGAATGCTGATTGGATGAAAGCCATGGTATATCAGACCGTATACCACGGTTATGACAAAATCTATATTTTTACTACTCTAATTACATTGGTAACCAGTTTATAATAATAGCAGATAGCCGTGGTATATTGGCCATATACCACCGTCCCTCGGGCCTTATTGCTTAAATATACCGTATTTTCCGCACTATAAGGCGCACCGGAGTATAAGCCGCAGCAGCTAAATTGAATGATATTGAATGATGTGTACATATATAAGCCACACTCTGACTATAAGCCGCAGGTGTTTTAATGTTTAATTACCATATGTAAGGGTTCGTGCACAGAGGGGATTGTCGGGAAAGAGACAAACTGTCTCGCTCTCGTAATGTCTGTTTGTCTGTCTCTCGTTCTCTCTCGTACCACTCTCGGTTCCACTTTTACGCGCTACCTGTCTCACTCTTTTCCGGCCTCCAGCTTTTCCTGCTGGAGCCCGCCGCTTAAAGGTGGGGGGCGCGGACCGGTCATAGAGCCCATAGAGTTAAAGTTGGTGGACTGTAACCTGTAAAATCCATAGATTTAGGAGGTCTTCTAGTGGCCGTTAGCTGTAAAAATCCATAGATTAGCCGCACCGTTATATAAGCCGCAGGGTCGAAAAATTGGAAAAAAGGCGCAGCTTATAGTCCGAAAATTACGGTAATTTGTAAGTCGCTCTGGATAAGAATGTCTGCTAAATTATGTAAATGTAATAATACCCACTGCTAGTAGCCATGTATTAATCTAACAGTAAATATAATGTCCTAAAAAAACTTTGCAGTCATAGCCTACCACTGAGGCCTATGCAATCGCAATGGCCAATGCGCATTTCGCGCACTCTATCTCAAAGCCATATCAAATATCTTGGTTGTAAAATAGTTGCTATTAATTGAGAAATTGTAATTATACCATTTTTACATTTTAGTCATTTAGCAGACGCTCTTATCCAGAGCGACCGACAGAAAGCTGAGAACCTCCTGTCCTCCCTTTATCGGTGACATTAGTATTACACAGGATAACGGTGTTATCCCCTCAATTGGATTTTGAAATACTTCAAGATGCCCACCATTGTTCCTGTACCCAAGAAAGTGAAGGCAACTGAACTAAATGACTATCACCCCCTAGCACTCACTTCTGTCATCATTAAGTGCTTTTTGAGAGGCTAGTTAACGATCACATCACCTCCACCTTACCAGACACCCTAGACCCACTACAATTTGCATACCGCCCCAACAGGGCTGCAGTGGAGAGGGTGAAAAGCTTCAAGTTCCTCAGAGTGCACATCACTGAACCTAAAATGGTCCATCATACAGACAGTGTGGTTAAGAAGGCGTAACAGTGCCTCTTCAACCTCAGGAGATTGAATAAATGTGGCTTGGCCACTAAGACACTCAAACTTCTACAGATGCACCATTGAGAGCATTCTGTCGGGTTGTATCACCGCCTGGTATGGCAATTGCACAGTCCGCAACCGCAGAGCTCTCCAGAGGGTGGTGCAGTCAGCCTAACACATCACTAGGGGCACACTGACTGCCCTCCAGGACATCTACAGCACCCGGTGTCACAGGAAGGCCAAGAAGATCATCAAGGACCTCAGCCACAGCCTGTTCACCCTACTATCATCTAGAAGGCGGAGACAGTACAGGTGCATCAAAGCTGGGACCGAGAGACTGAAAAACAGCTTCTATCACCAAATCAAATCACATTTTATTTGCAACACGCACCGAATACAACAGGTGTAGACAATACCGTGAAATGCTTACTTACAGCCCTTAACCAACAATGCATTTATTTTTAAATAAAAAAAGTAAAATAAAACAAAAAAGTGTTGAGAAGAAAAGAGCAGAAGTAAAATAAAATAACAGTAGGGAGGCTATATACAGGGGGGTACCGGTGCAGAGTCAATGTGTGGGGGCACCGGCTAGTTGAGGTAATATGTACATGTGGGTAGAGTTATAGTGACTATGCATAAATAATTAACAGAGTAGCAGCAGCGTAAAAATATGGGGTGGGGGTGGGGGGGCAGTGCAAATAGTCCGGGTAGCCATGATTAGCTGTTCAGGAGTCTTATGGCTTGGGGGTAGAAGCTGTTGAGAAGCCTTTTGGACCTAGACTTGGCACTCCGGTACCACTTGCCATGCGGTAGCAGAGAGAACAGTCTATGACTAGGGTGGCTGGAGTCTTTGACAATTTTGAGGGCCTTCCTCTGACACCGCCTAGTATATACAGTGAGGGAAAAAAGTATTTGATCCCCTGCTGATTTTGTACGTTTGCCCAGTGACAAAGAAATGATCAGTCTATAATTTGAATGGTAGGTTTATTCGAACAGTGAGAGACAGAATAACAACAACAAAAATCCAGAAAAACGCATGTCAAAAAAGTTATGAATTGATTTGCATTTTAATGAAGGAAATAAGTATTTGACCCCTCTGCAAAACATGACTTAGTACTTGGTGGCAAACCCCTTGTTGGCAATCACAGAGGTCAGACGTTTCTTGTACAGTGGGGGAAAAAAGTATTTAGTCAGCCACCAATTGTGCAAGTTCTCCCACTTAAAAAGATGAGAGAGGCCTGTAATTTTCATCAGAGGTACACGTCAACTATGACGGACAAAATGAGAAAAAAAATTCCAGAAAATCACATTGTAGGATTTTTTATGAATTTATTTGCAAATTATGGTGGAAAATAAGTATTTGGTCAATAACAAAAGTTTCTCAATACTTTGTTATATACCCTTTGTTGGCAATGACACAGGTCAAACGTTTTCTGTAAGTCTTCACAAGGTTTTCACACACTGTTGCTGGTATTTTGGCCCATTCCTCCATGCAGATCTCCTCTAGAGCAGTGATGTTTTGGGGCTGTCGCTGGGCAACACGGACATTCAACTCCCTCCAAAGATTTTCTATGGGGTTGAGATCTGGAGACTGGCTAGGCCACTCCAGGACCTTGAAATGCTTCTTACGAAGCCACTCCTTCGTTGCCCGGGCGGTGTGTTTGGGATCATTGTCATGCTGAAAGACCCAGCCACGTTTCATCTTCAATGCCCTTGCTGATGGAAGGAGGTTTTCACTCAAAATCTCACGATACATGGCCCCATTCATTCTTTCCTTTACACGGATCAGTCGTCCTGGTCCCTTTGCAGAAAAACAGCCCCAAAGCATGATGTTTCTACCCCCCATGCTTCACAGTAGGTATGACACATATGACATTCTCCCAATCCTCTTCTGGATCATCCAAATGCACTCTAGCAAACTTCAGACGGGCCTGGACATGTACTGGCTTAAGCAGGGGGACACGTCTGGCACTGCAGGATTTGAGTCCCTGGCGGCATAGTGTGTTACTGATGGTAGGCTTTGTTACTTTGGTCCCAGCTCTCTGCAGGTCATTCACTAGGTCCCCCCCGTGTGGTTCTGGGATTTTTGCTCACTGTTCTTGTGATCATTTTGACCCCACGGGGTGAAATCTTGCGTGGAGCCCCAGATCGAGGGAGATTATCAGTGGTCTTGTATGTCTTCCATTTCCTAATAATTGCTCCCACAGTTGATTTCTTCAAACCAAACTGCTTACCTATTGCAGATTCAGTCTTCCCAGCCTGGTGCAGGTCTACAATTTTGTTTCTGGTGTCCTTTGACAGCTCTTTGGTCTTGGCCATAGTGGAGTTTGGAGTGTGACTGTTTGAGGTTGTGGACAGGTGTCTTTTATACTGATAAAAAGTTCAAACAGGTGCCATTAATACAGGTAACAAGTGGAGGACAGAGGAGCCTCTTAAAGAAGAAGTTACAGGTCTGTGAGAGCCAGAAATCTTGCTTGTTTGTAGGTGACCAAATACTTATTTTCCACCATAATTTGCAAATAAATTCATAAAAAATCCTACAATGTGATTTTCTGGAGAAAAAAAATCTCAATTCGTCTGTCATAGTTGACGTGTACCTATGATGAAAATTACAGGCCTCTCATCTTTTTAAATGGGAGAAATTGCACAATTGGTGGCTGACTAAATACTTTTTTCCCCCACTGTAGTTGGCCACCAGGTTTGCACACATCTCAGGAGGGATTTTGTCCCACTCCTCTTTGCAGATCTTCTCCAAGTCATTAAGGTTTCGAGGCTGACATTTGGCAACTCAAACCTTCAGCTCCCTCCACAGATTTTCTATGCTAGGCCACTCCAGGACCTTAATGTGCTTCTACTTGAGCCACTCCTTTGTTGCCTTGGCCGTGGGTTTTGGGTCATTGTCATGCTGGAATAACCATCCATCTCTATAGTGCCTTGCAGTCAGAGGCCGAGCAGTTGTCATACCAGGCAGTGATGCAACCAGTCAGGGTGCTCTCGATGGTGCAGCTGTAGAACCGTTTGAGGATCTCAGGACTCATGCCAAATCTTTTCAGTCTCCTTAGGGGGAATAGGTTTTGTCGTGCCCTCTTCACTACTGTCTTGGTGTGCTTGGATCATGTTAGTTTGTTGGTGATGTGGACACCAAGGAACTTGAAGCTCTAAACCTGCTCCACTACAGCCCCGTTAATGAGAATGGGGACGTGCACGGTCCTCTTCTTTTTCCTGTAGTCCACAAATCATCTCCTTTGTCTTGATCACGTTGAGGGAGAGGTTGTTGTCCTGGCACCACACGGCCAGGTCCCTGACCACCTCCCTATAGGCTGTCTCGTCGTTATCGGGGTCTGAATACATTCCGAAAGTACTGTACACATCTATTTTTATATTCCAGATGCGACCAATTCAACATTTTACTTTCGCAGCCAAGTCGACTAAATGGTCGCAGTCTGGAGCTCTGTAAACGCAAAAATGCAGATGACAGATGAAGAAAATTACGGTGTATGCGCAATCCTCACCTCGTTTGCAGTGTTGTTAGTTCCCACGATGCGAATAAAAGAGGCAGGCTGCTTGTCGAATTTGAGTGTCTGCCACGATCTGTTGAATAAAAACAAGACTGTTAAAAGACCTCAAATGGACAGTATTGTACAAAGATAATCTGAAAAGAGTTTGGGAAAGGGAGAGACTTGAACACAGACTGGGAGTCTTACCGACATGGCACCTTGGTGCGGTCCACCACCTTTGTCCACTGCTGCTGATTGGTGGAGACCTCAATGTAGTAACTGTAGGATCGCTCATCACAGTCCCACAGTAGCAGTCTGTCCAGATAGAAGTAGAAAATAACTAAATGATTAGCATGAAAAAATGTAGCAAACATGCAGACAGATACAAAAACTCCCAAGACTCAACATGAGTGAAAACGCACACACAAACACACACCTTAAGGAGCCTATAGTGTAGGGTTGAGCCAGTTGGATGACGATGGCCCCAGAGCCCAGCTGGTGACAGGTGTAGCCCGAGTCCCAGTCGTAGTTGCTGGTGTCCCCGTTGAGCAGGGCGTTTCTGCTCCGACTAACCCCCTCGATGACACTGGAACAGGCCGCGATGGTAGCCACATTCTCATTTGGAACTGCAGATATGAAGGATGAAAAAAGCAGAGGCAAAAAATAGTAGGAGAGAGAGGATTGGGAATAAAGTAGAGGATTGGCGAGAGTAGTAATAGATGTTTATGTTGATCAGACCTGGCATCTTAAGAATCATATATAACACTAGTATAACAATTGATATTCCTGCCTTACCGAGAATACCTCTTTCCAGAGTGAAGGAGCGGTGTGTGAACATGCACTCGAAAGCCACCAGATGGAAGACCTTGTTGACAGTGTTGTGCGTCCCCACAATGCGCACATACCTGGGACACAAGGACAAAATCACACCCACTGTTGTAGAACCAAAAGTCAAAATTGGTGCCAACCATAGGAAGAGATGCAAAGGGTGAGGTTTTACCTGGCCACACGTGGTGTAAAGAAGAGGTTCTGCCAAGAGTGACACAGGTACTTGGAATGGTCCACAACACGCACCCAATCCAGCTCATCCATGGACACTTCAATATAGTAGGAGTAAGACCTGCACAAAAACAGAAATATGGATATGGACCATACAAATCCCAGTTACCAAAGCATAGCTAAAGAGTATTTCTATATCAGCATGATAGTAACATTACTGCAATATATATTTAAAACACTATAAAAACATTGCTCATCAGTTGAGCAAAACCTTCAGAGAAAAATGAATGCGTGTTTGATAGCCTACAATGCAGTTAGACTGAGCAGAATCACTGATTGGCAAATCACCTTGCATCCCAAATAATTACTCATTATGTGATCAAGATTAGCAATTGTGCCTTCCTCAAACTGATCCCTTAAAACACGCTGGATGTCTCACTCACCGGCTGTCCCTGTCCCAGAGCAGGATGCGGATGTGGTTGATGATAGAGGCCTGGCCCAGTTTGATCTGAAGGCCAGCGCGGCCGTCCTCCTCTATCGGGTGTCTGGAGAAGCCATGGTCCAGGTCGTAGTTCTGGGTGTCTCCGTCCAGCAGCGCTGACTTCAGCTCTCCCTTCACCACTTGGGCCCCATACTTCATGGTGGCAATGTTCTCCTCTGGGACTGTAAGACACAAAGGCATCACATTGAATACTTTATATTAAATACATATCTCACACACACAAAATACACACACATGGAATACGAAGAGAGACACACACGGAATTCACATGCAAACAGAATACACAGACTCCCACTGACAAATAAAGCTATTAGTTGCCGACTACTAGAACAGGACCGGAAGCGACTGAGACTCACTGAGCATGCCGCGGTAGTTGAGGTCCATGTCGCGGCTCTCTGAGCGGGTCTTGATGGCGTCCAGCAGGTCGTCTGGGCTGAGCAGTCCCGAGGGACGCACCACGTTCAGCATCTCCGTCAGGCTCATGAGCGGCAGCCGCACGGCTGCCATCACTTCCTGCGTGGCGCCTCCCTCGCCGTTCTGCCGGCTCCAGTGACACAGCGCCTGGAAGATCTCCTTCTCGCTCGCCGCAAATGAGTCCCTCCGTAACACAGTCAGCAGAGCAGTCTGCACAGAGAGAGAGAGGATAAAAGGATATTCAGTTAAGACTCCTATCTGATTTGGATTCAGTCATAGTTCTTTGATATGGGTCTTGTTCATTAGGGCACATGATGGAAATCATTTGAAAACATTTAGCAAAGGAAAACAAAAATTAGCATTTCTTATTAGTCCAGGTAGTTCCCTTCCTGTTTTGGTCCATGTTCTTCCATGTTTGTGGCCTAATGAACACGACCATGCCCACTCTCACTCACCTTGGACAGTGTGAGGAAGCCGTCTGAAGCCAGGACCTCCGGGGCGTGACGGTCCATGTAGGCACAGCACGCTGCACTGAGCGCACTCAGACAGTACAGGCTGGCCACGTCAAACACCAAACACACATTGTGCGTATGCAGGATGGTGCGCAGGAACTCTGAGGTGGAGTCCTCTAGTGGCTGGAGGCCATAGCGGTGGGCCAGACCCAGGAAGTCCAGCAGCACCTCCTCGCGGGCTGAGCTGAGGCTAGCCCGGCCCGTGTAGAGGTAGTTGAGGAGCATGGAGAAGGCCTCGGCTCGCGTCTCCTCCAGGGTCACCTCCGCCTGCGGCTGGGACTCCTTCATCCCCCCATACAGCAGAGCTCTGGGGAAATTATTAAACATCTCAGAGACTGTTACCTAGTCCTAGCTACTCCTTTGAATGTGCTCATATTGAGTATGTTTAGATTCTGAAATACAAATGTTCACAATTTATTCAATATAAAAAATATAAATATCTCAAATGTCTAAAAATAAGCTAAATCAAAAAGGGTAGTTGAGATATTTAAATTATTAATGTTGAATAAACTAATGTTTACATTTGTATTTTAGAATCTACACATACTCCATATGTTAGAGCACACTATAAGGAGTATAATGACATCAAGATGTCTGTATCATGGTCCTCTGTAGCTCAGCTGGTAGAGCACGGCGCTTGTAACGCCAAGGTTGTGGGTTCGATCCCCGGGAACACCCATACACAAAAATTTATGCATGCATGACTGTAAGTCGCTTTGGATAAAAGCGTCTGCTAAATGGCATATTATTATTATTATTATACCGTTCACAGATCATAAGGTCTCACAGGAGGCATGTATAGGTCTAAAAAGGGCGTAAAATGGCCACTTTCATCGTGATTTTCTAAAAAATTGTTTGTGATACAAATGTAAAAAGCATGTCAAACAATCCTTCCTCCCAATGAAGTCCCTTTGTGAGAATTTCCAGAACAATCTGAGATACCAAAAATATTTTCTGCTCCCGCTGGTGTGGAAACGCCCTAGAACACTATCACCTAAAAGCAGGGAGTACTGTAAGGTTAAAATTGAATTGCCAACTGCCGGACAGCCAGTCATCTGACATATAATTGGAAGCCAAAAACCTCATGCACTGCAAAGACAACCATGCAAACAGGTGTACCTGAAGTAGTGACAGCGTGCTGCCAAGATGACCCTATGGGCTGGAAAGCGTTTCTCCTCCACAATGAAGGTGACATCGCTGTACTCTTCACCTGGAACCAAAGCACCCAGCTGCTCGGACAGCAGGTGGATGTGGTCGATCTCTGACACTGAGGCCAGTGGACGCAAGGGATGGCTGTTGCTACTCATTATGGTTAGACTTGGGGCGTCTCAATAACATCTGACAAAAGAGAAGACAAGATGGTTAATGGGTGTCATACAAACAGGCAGTGCACACACTGTCTCAAGTACCTAGCTACAGTAGCTAACTTTAGATAACTGTAGACCAGGGCTGTTCAATGTCGGTCCTGGAGGCACTTCTGTCTTTCATCCTCTACTTTTAATAATGGACTAATTCAGACCTGGGACACCATGTAAGTGCAATAAACTACAAGGCAGGTAGAAACAAAAACCAGAAGTATTTCGGCCCTGGCTCCATGACATGAATTTAACAGCCCCGCTGTAGACGGAGCTAGCGGATATATATATACTGTGTAATGCGGGTAACAATGATATTATGCATGTGTTATAATAGGTAGAAAACTTGAAATACAGGAATCATCTAACGAGCTAATAAATCAAGAATGTGAAACTATTCAGTGTAGCTAGCAATGCCAGCCACTGAGGCAAAGATTTGTATAACTAAACCAAGCCATACCACAGCCTGTCGTTTCAAATAGGAACAAATGAGTCATAGTGGGCAGAAGAAGCAAGGTGGGCAGAGCCATGCACGAGATAGCGAGATCCTATTGGCGCGTACTAGCTATCATTTGCATATTTCTGTTAGGGACTGTCTACTAGCTGTGGAGTGCGCGTGTGTAGCAACTCAATTCGCCTTTGCAATCCTGCTAAACAACGCAATTATTTTTAACTTTGGCAAAGGGTCAAGTCTACAACACGTAATCCACTCTGTTCGTAACACATTCTAGTTTTGGTAACAGAAAAATGTATTGAGATCAAATGTTTCATCGATGACAAAAGTAGCAGAATGTCGGCCAAAATCCATCTCGTTCCATCTTCTTCCACTACCGGTCAATGGGCTTCCTCTCACTACCAAATTTGGTAGTAGGTGGAAACGCCAAGCGGATGCTTCACATGTATACATCCGGTGAAATATCTGTCTCATTGTTCTATCTGTGCTACTGATCTGTGACGCTGTCAACTGATACAGCAGCTTGGGTTTCACCCGTGTGACATACCAGCACAATAAGCGTATCCCCTTTCGTTCTCCCTTCCACGAAACCTCTTCCTTGACGTTATTTTCCCCTTTATTCAATCAAATGACCGTATTGACAATTTCGTCGTGAGTAATTCAATAATTTGCTATCAGTACTAAAAAACGCTACCATCACAAACACAACTGAGTAGGGTCACAACCCGGATGTTGTTAGGGTGGGAAGAACGGCACTTTTCTAAGAAAGAATAGCGCCCCTTGTGTATGGACAAGCAGTGTAAATGCAGGTGGTGGATGTCACACTTGCGAAAATGATCACGTAACAGCAATGTAAATTCCTGTAAATGTCAATAGTTTGTGATTGCGGCCCGCAATTCGGGACGTTCCTGCATGTGGATATTCTTGCATCTGCAAGAACGCCCCCCCCCCCCCGAGCATTCCATTGGTTCCTGCATGAACGCCCCCTCAAGCATTCAATCTCTATTTTTTACAGTTCATGCACCATGTTCATGCTTGTGTGAAACCACAGAGTTACCAAAGTTTTTCATAACTAACCCAGCTCATCTGTGAACTTACTGTCTTTGGTGACACTTTTGATATTCTCGGGGTGGCACTAGTTACCAAAGCCCACAAAGTCAAAATTGGCTATATCTTATAAATTCATTAACTCATTAAGTTTAAAATCAGATTTTAATAAGATACATTGTAGAAATAGACAGGGTTTAGCCATAGTTATGACTGTGGCTGTGGTAAAGTCGACCTTGTTATGCAATTACCATGTGGACAAAAGGTAAATAAAAGTATTATTGTCATAGCTTGCTAGCTACCGGTGCCCCCCGCCTGTTGTGTACCAGAGTCCTAGCAATGGCCGTGTTTGAGAGGATCAAAACCGTAATGTATCATGGTTAAATTGTGACTGACTGATCTACAAATAATCATTAGTAGTTATTTATGATGCAAGGTTTTTGTAGATCAGTCAGTCGGCAGTCGCCTGCACTGTTGGCTGCAATGTTGAACAAGCCCAGTGTCTTTTGCTCCCAGCTGCCGAACATCTGCCCTCGCCATCTTTAACAGAACTGTAGGAAAGCAGTGCCAAACAGGCAGGGGTGAAGGAAACTGTCTACCGGTGTCCTAGCTAGCTAGCTACCGTTGTTGTAGTTGTGACTTGATGGAGTACAGCTACGACCGGAAGTGACTTTTCGTAGCACGTTAGGGGAGCATTTTAGTTAACCCTACCTAACCTTAACCGAATTCTCCTAAACTGCTATGTTAATTATCCTAACCTGCTGCGTAAGCTATCCTAACCTGCTACGAAAAAGTATGTTCCGGTCATTGTATACCACCTAGTCAAAACCCGTTGTTGCCCCCGTCCCTTCTTCTTCTGTGGGGTTTATCAGCGGTTGGCATCCAACGTTAAGGTGCATTACCGCCACCGACTAAACTGGAGCACCCCCTCCTCCCGCCTGTGTACCAGAGTCCTAGCTTAAAAATGGACCAATAGAAGTATAAAGAGGGGTTCCTGCAGATGCAGTAATGCCCACATGCAGGAACGCCCCGAAATGCAGGCCACAATTACACACTTCTTGTAAATCTACCTAAGGAAACTGCTGATGCTATGGTTAACAAATAAATAGGCTGAGTGGTCTAGTTGGCTAAATCTTTACAATTTGAATAAAACGCAGATGTCGAAAATACGTGAGGTAGATCCACATTTCTGTTTATTGCAAATAGAATACAGACACAGGCTGGGATCATATCAACCTCAGTCAAAAAACATTAGGAGCAGCTATTCACCCTGGCATTAGTAAGTCATCTTCATTGTCAGTTTGTCTCATCCAAACATCTCCAATATTTTCTCTGTATGTTACAGCTATCCCATCCTTTCTCTTTTAGGTGTCCATAGCATACCCAAGCAGATGAAAGAATATATACAGTACTAGTCAAACGTTTGGACACACCTTCTCATTCAAGAGTTTTTCTTTATTTTTACTATTTTTACATTGTAGAATAATAGTGAAGACATCAAAACTAAGAAATAACACATATGGAATCATGTAGTAACCAAAAAAGTGTTAAACAAATCAAAATATATTTTATATTTGAGATTCTTCAAAAAGCCACCCTTTGCCTTGATGACAGCTTTGCACACTCTTGGCATTCTCTCAACCAGCTTCACCTGGAATGCTTTTCCAACAGTCTTGAAGGAGTTCCCACATATGCTGAGCACGTGTTGGCTGCTTTTCCTTCACTCTGCCGTCCGACTCATCCCAAACCATCTCAATTGTGTTGAGGTCGGGGGATTGTGGAGGCCAGGTCATCTGATGCAGCACTCCATCACTCTCCTTCTTGGTAAAATAGCCCTTACACAGCCTGGAGGTGTGCTGGGTCATTGTCCTATTGAAAAACAAATGATAGTCCCACTAAGCCCAAACCAGATGTGATGGCGTATCACTGCAGAATGCTGTGGTAGCCATGCTGGTTAAGTGTGCCTTGAATTCTAAATAATTCACAGGCAGTGTCACCAGCAAAGCACTGCAACACCATAAGACCTCCTCCTCCATGCTTTACGGTGGGAACTACACATGCAGAGAATCATTCCTCACCCACACTGCGTCTCACAAAGACACGCAGTTTGAACCAAAAATCTCAAATTTGGACACCAGACCAAAGGACAAATTTCCACCGGTCTAATGTCCATTGCTCATGTTTCTTGGCCCAAGCAAGTCTCTTCTTCTCATTGGTGTCATTTAGTAGTGGTTTCTTTGCAGCAATTCGACCATGAAGGCCTGATTCACACGGTTTCCTCTGAACACCTGATGTTGAGATGTGTCTGTTACTTGAACTCTGTGAAGTAGTAGGTGTGTCCAAACCTTTGACTGGTACTGTATATATATTATTTTTAATAAAATAAAAATATTAACCCGTCCAACCCATCCAACACAACTTAAGTATATTATTAGTATGTTAGATAAAAAAACAAATATACTTTGAATGCACCATAAGTACATTTTATGTATATTTATACAGTGAGGGAAAAAAGTATTTGATCCCCTGCTGATTTTGTACGTTTGCCCACTGACAAAGACATTATCAGTCTATAATTTTAATGGTAGGTTTATTTGAACAGTGAGAGACAGAATAACAAAAAAAAAATCCAGAAAAACGCATGTCAAAAATGTTATAAATTGATTTGCATTTTAATTATGGAAATAAGTATTTGACCCCCTCTCAATCAGAAAGATTTCTGGCTCCCAGGTGTCTTTTATACAGGTAACGAGCTGAGATTAGGAGCACACTCTTAAAGGGAGTGCTCCTAATCTCAGCTTGTTACCTGTATAAAAGACACCTGTCCACAGAAGCAATCAATCAATCAGATTCCACTCTCCACCATGGCCAAGACCAAAGAGCTCTCCAAGGATGTCAGGGACAAGATTGCAGACCTACACAAGGCTGGAATGGGCTACAAGACCATCGCCAAGCAGCTTGGTGAGAAGGTGACAACAGTTGGTGCGATTATTCGCAAATGGAAGAAACACAAAATAACTGTCAATCTCCCTCGACCTGGGGCTCCATGCAAGATCTCACCTCGTGGAGTTGCAATGATCATGAGAACTTTGAGGAATCAGCCCAGAACTACACGGGAGGATCTTGTCAATGATCTCAAGGCAGCTGGGACCATAGTCACCAAGAAAACCATTGGTAACACACTACGCCGTGAAGGACTGAAATCCTGCAGCGCCCGCAAGGTCCACCTGCTCAAGAAAGCACATATACAGGGCCTTCTCAAGTTTGCCAATGAACATCTGAATGATTCAGAGGAGAACTGGGTGAAAGTGTTGTGGTCAGATGAGACCAAAATGGAGCTCTTTGGCATCAACTCAACTCGCCGTGTTTGGAGGAGGAGGAATGCTGCCTATGACCCCAAGAACACCATCCCCACCGTCAAACATGGAGGTGGAAAGATTTGTTTCTAACCCATCTACACAAAGTACCACATAATGACTAAGTGAAAACATGTTTAATTTATTGAAAATGAAGTACAGAATAATCTCATTTACATAAGTATTTACACCCCTGAGTCAATACTTTGTAGAAGCACCTTTGACAGCGATTACAGCTGTGAGTCTTTCTGGGTATGTCTCTGACAGCTTTCCACACCTGGATTATGCAACATTTTCCCATTATTATTTTCAAAATTATTCAAGCTCTGTCAAATGGGTTGTTGATCATTGCTATTCAACCACTTTCAGGTCTTGCCTTAGATGTTCAAGTAGATTTAAGTGAAAACTGTAGCTCGGCCACTCAGGAACATTCACTGCCTTCTTGGTAAGCAACTCCAGTGTAGATTTGGCCTTGTGTTTTAGGTTATTGTCCTGCTGAAAGGTGATTTCATTACATTTACCATTTTAGTCATTTAGCAGACGCTCTTATCCAGAGCGACTTACAGGAGCAAGTAGGGTTAAGTGCCTTGCTCAAGGGCACATCGACAGATTTTTCACCTAGTTGGCTCGGGGATTAGAACCAGCGACCTTTCGGTTACTGGCACAACGCTCTTAACCACTAAGCTACCTGCCTCCCCATCCTTCATCTCCCAGTGTCTGGTGGAAAGCAGACTGAACCAGGTTTTCCTCTAGGAATTTGCCTGTGCTTAGCTCCATTCCATATCTTTTTTATCCTGAAAAACACCCCAGTCCTTAACGATTAAAAGCATACCCATAACATGATGCTGCCACCACTATGCTTGAGAATATGGAGAGTGGTACTCAGTAATGTGTTGTATTGGATTTGCCAAATTTTTTGCAGTTTTACTTTAATGCCTTGTTGCAAACAGGATGCATGTTTTGGAATATTTTTATTCTGTACAGGCTTCCTTCTTTTCACTCTGTCAATTAGATTAGTATTTTGGAGTAACTACAATGTTGAAGATCCATCCTCAGTTTTCACCCAGCATAGCCATTAAACTCTGTAACTGTTTTATAGTCACCATTTACCTCATGGTGAAATCCCTGAGCGGTTTCCTTCCTCTCTGGCAACGGATTTAGGATGGACGCCTGTATCTTTGTAGTGACTGGGTGTATTGATACATCATCCAACTTGTAATTTATAACTTCACAATGCTCAAAGGGATATTCAATGTCTGCTTTTTTATTTTTTACCCATCTACCAATAAGTTCCCTTCTTTGTGTCTGAAATTCAC